CATGGAGACAGTTGGGAGTGTGCAGGCAGCTGAAGTCCTAGTTCAAAACAACTAGGCAGGTTAAAAATTGTAAAGTGCTCCTGGCTAAAATTGGCACAAGTCAGGCCAACAGGTGGGCTGAGAGACTAGCTGCTGATAACCCCTCCTTCCAACTGAAGTATCCAAAGGGTCAACTGATATGTAAAATGCTCTAGTCAAAATTTCCACAAAGACTAGAGTCATGAACTGGGTGGGCTCCAGGGACTCCCCACCCAACATTCTTCAGTAGAAGTATTTGATATGCTAAAATTCCTTTGTAAAACAAGCAAGCCCTGGAAAAATATGGCCCAGCAAAAGTGATTTGTTAAAAAGTTTGTTTTAAATCTTGGTCCTCTGCGAGAGTAAGATTGGCAAAAAAGAACTTTTGCCATTAAAAATTCAGGAAAACATATGGCTGGTATTCATTTCGCGCACTTTAAGATCTTTGTGCACAAGAGTATATGTATACGTATGACTGTAGATAAAACATGTTCAAAAAATGGGTGGGTTTGTACTTAAACCACATTATGATATATGGGTGGGGTTAAGTTTAAACTCCAAGAAAGGCCATGAGGTTTGGGTGTTACTGAAAGTCTCAAAGGATTATTGCATTATTTTAAAGAGGAATTTAGTTGAACAGTTTTCTAAGGATTCTTTAATTTGCAAATCAAAAAGTCTGCCATTTTAATATATGAGTGTTTACATTGTAATCAAGCTATTTGGCTCAGCAAAAAGGCATCGGAAACTTGAAATTTCCCACCACTGCTAAAGTTTGGGGCTGTTAGTGAAGAACGTAAAAATATATAGACAGCACCTAACAGCCATTTTCACTTCTGTACCTTTGCTTGCTAAAAACTTTGCTAAAACCTTGAGGAGTGGAGTGAAAGAGGCAGAAAACTGGACTGCCCTCATCAAAGTAGGCAAGCACCCCCTGAATGAATTTATTAAAAGGCATGGAGTAACATTAATGCTTAATGTAATAGAAATTAGAAGTTATGATTACTAACCGCTCGTTTTTGCTTCTGTACGAATTGCTTTGTGCTAGATGATTTTATGGTTTTTGTATGATTTTAACTGTGACTGGTTTTAGTTACTCAGTAGTGGAATGTCAGCCTGGGAGCCAAGAGTTGTTTAGTAAAAGACTTCAAAGGGTTTACAGCCTTGACCAAGGGCGCAAAGTCCTCAGAATCATCCCCACAGCTGCAACGCCACTCCCTCCCGGAGGCCGGGGCAGTAAGGCCCTAGAGAAATAGGTTTTAAGAAACCTAAGCAACTCCATTTTTGTTTAACACTCCATCTCAGTTCTGCCACTTGACTTGTGATCCACTTTAGCCCAATGCTAGGAATTTATGACAGAAAGCCATGCACAATTCTTGGAGCCATAGATGGCGTTTGCTTAAGGCAGGTATTAGCCCCCAAGTGGTGTTGCCCCCCAGCCACCTAGGACTAAGAGTTTCTGACCAACCAGTACTTCAGAGTCCAGGGCTAGACATGCCATGCATTCTGTGGACCAAGGACATTTTTCTGTAAAGGTCAACCAATCATATTTGCCCAGCTTAGCTTGCTTTAAATGTTAACCAATCATGTAATTTCTTATGTAAAAGTTCCTTAAAGTTATTTGTTCAATACTATAAAAACTGTGCTGATTCTATGCTTAGGGCCTCTTAGCGTCACCGGTTACCATGTGCGGACAAGCTCGAGCTTGCAATAAACCGGCTCTTTGTTGCTTACACTGATCGTGGTCTTTGGTGGTCTTCTGGGGGTCCCCGAATTCCGGTATAACATTAGAAATTTGGATGTAAAGGTTTGTAGACATTTCCCATTCTGTCCGAACTGCTTGGTTTCTCAGGAGAAAAAAAAAGACAGGAAAAACTTAAGATAGGACTGGTGCCTATCTTTGGGGGTGAGGGGTGACCTGGCAAAGATGCAGCTCGGCTGGCCCACATATGGTCAGGGTAAGCTGGCACAAAGGCAGCTCACCTAACCCTGAAGAGTGGGATGGGTATATGCCCATTCTGTAGGACAGGCCAAGTGGACCATCTTCATCCCATCTCATTCCTTTGTGGATGGACACTGGAAACCCGTAAAAATTGGTGTTGTGATTGGTATTTCTAGAACTGTCCCTTGGATGTATTAAAATTGAAAATGTTTTAAAGGAGAGTTTAAATCTGTATAATGTGACTTTATTTCTATGCTATTTTGTAATTGGATTTTTTTTTAAAGGGCAAAAAGATGCTAAGTCTAGATTCTTGGTACAGTGCTGGGGCTTGTAATTCTTGCATTAGGGAAAAACTGCTATGAGAGTCTAAAATTTCCTAAAGGTAACTCAGACTACAGCAAAAAAAAAAAAAAAAAAGACCATTTTAAACTGGGTGGCCAAAGGGGCATTTAAATGCAAATTAAAGTGACTTTGGGAAAAAAGATTAAAACTGGGATTCCCTTTGTAAAAACGTGGGAAGTAATGGGGAGTGGCTGGTTCCCCAGTCAAAGAAAACTTAAAAAGTAAAATTATCCTAAATGATCATTTCAAATGAGTAAATTAGGACTACCAAAATGATTGTTTAATTGCTATTCCAGTTTGCGCTTTCAGGTTTTTATAAGTTTCAAGCAGGCCCACAGAGCACAGAGGAGTCTTACAAATTTTTCAGATGTAACTTTGCCCCTTAATAAGTTCCAGGTAGGACTATGCTTATAAAATGACTTCCAATGACCATCTTTATTGCTTTTAATTGAAGTGGCCTTTTATAAAGACTTATTGAACTGAGAACTGAGGTGCAAAGCCAGCCAAGGGAAAGAAAGGTACCTGTGAAACTGTCATCTCCAGTCCACCAGCAGAGTACTGCTGGGAGGTGGAGAGCACAGGGACAGCACTAAGGCCGAATATAGGGACTGACCAAGGAAAATGCCTGTCGTGCATTGATCCCAGAATGGAAAAATACATTCCTGGGACTCTGGCAATGATGGAACATCCAGAGGCAGTTACAAGCCACCGCTTAAATGTCAGAGGTAGTGTCAGATCCTGGAGTCACTTGTGCTTGGCCCTTCAAAAGTTGATCAGAGCCATATCATGAGAAAATAGTTTGTAAGCATGCCTTTCTAATGCCCATGTCTGGCTACCTCATAACTGGGCAGGAACTTAAACCTGCAGGGCAGGAACTTGACAATTATCTGTAATAGTAGTAAAAAGATTTTTGTTAAATGTGGGGGATAGTTTTAAACCCTAATCCCCTGTATGTGCTCAAAGCCTTAACTGACAGTGACTTTTGGGCTGGCACCAGCCACATAAATTCATTTGTTCAGGAAAGGAAAAGTTCTGTGGACTGGAGATCATGTACCTATTGAGATCTGTCTAAAGGCCTACACAGGTAACTTAGGCTGTTAGGGTCAGTAGAGATCAGGTTCCTCAGCCAAACCAGAGTGCTAAACAGGTCATACTACTGTAGCCCAAGAAAATGTCTGTGCCATTGTTAAAAATTAAATGTTGTATATAATTTTTAGTTTGGATTAAACTATTGCTCCTAATGCCATCTAATCCTGGCAAACCCTTGGTAAAATAGGCTAAGGTTACAGGATCCTGACTAAATAGGGTCAGTGCCCCTGAGTCAGCATGAAAAAGTTACAGAAGATGGACTTTTGTCCATCAACTACCCTTTAAGATCAAGGGACCAGTATACAAATGTGGAGACTGCACTTGCAAAGATAGTTACAAGCCCAAGACTTCTATGTCTGCCTAGAAAATCCTAGCCAAAAACAAACAAAAAGTAAAAGCTGTCCAGGGGCCACTGCCTAAAAGAGTCTTAAAAACCAGTGGGGTGCCAGCCCACAAAAGTCATTGTACAACCAGAAAAATACTGGGAGATTTTCATCAAAGTCAGGCCCTAGCTCTAGGTAGCTTCTTCAACTAGTCTTTGTAGAAATTTGCAGGTAACTCAGCAGGAGGTGTGACAATCCATTGGAGCTGCTGGGAGACACTGTTGCTGCTGCCCACCCCTTTGGGTAAACTTCAAGGACAGCCTGACATCTGGAGGAGACTCATCATCAACCATGGTGAAAGTGAACTGGACTCTAGCCTGGCACATGCAGCTGATTCCTGGTGAAAGATTGCTTTGGATCTGCCAAATCTAAGGATCTGGCTGTGGGACATTCTTTCCATGGGACTTAAATTTGTAAATCATACCCTGCCTGACCTGGGAATGAAAAGTTCAAAGTCCCCTGATTATATGGGTACCAACCATATGGAGCCAACTTTAACTGTTACGTACTCCTTAAAGTAAAGGAGGGAACAGCCCAGGCAAAAATTCAGCTCTCCTACAGAGAAATCAATTATTTGATTTCATGTATATAAGAAGGAGGGAATAAAGTATGGAGGTCAGGTCTGGTCAGTGCCATACTGGCCACAGATGGTAGGGTTTAGCATCTTTTCTTCACACTGGGGAAAGGGAACACCCTACCACCCAGGTGATGGGTCTGCCCAGATCCCTGGAGGTAGGGGTGAGCACTTGGCTGATAGGTTACTGAACCTGTCAGTCCAGTGCCTGGGACTATGAGTTTCCTGTGGACTTGCCCACTGCCCTAACCTTATATTGGCCTGGACCAACACAGGCACCATTATGCCCTGCCACATGTGTCTCCAGAGTCTTGTCCTGTGTCCTGCCTCTTGGCTCATCTCCCATCCCCATAATGGTGTCCCAATTCAGCTCTCTATCAGACAGTATTGTTGGTATTGTTTTTGCTCTTTTCTCCTCTCTGGCCTGTTTCCTGTGTTGTGTGTATTTGCGGGCTGTAGGCCTTTGTTACAATGGGCAGCCTGTAAGACAGCTAGTGTTGTAATAAAGACTCCAATATTCCATCCTTCAAAAAAAAAGACAAAACAAAAAAACAAGACTAGAACACATAAGTAGTCTATATCAAAACTCACAAGAGGTGGCTGAAATCATGTCAACTTTCAGCTTGACAAAACATAAACCCAGTTATTATGCATAAACAATTCAAAATTAAAGTTTATAATGGAAATGTCAACAAGTCATAACTACTATACATTACTGGTGATAGGTTCCACTATTCTTCAACCAGGCACAGCAGATGTGCACATCTGATAGACAGATTGCTTAGAAAATTAAAGCTATCAGAGCTATAAATAAGGAATACATAAATATGAACACAGCAATGCCAAAGCAGAGACTATTAAAATGAGCCCATAAGATGTGATATGAACACATATGATAGTTCATCATGTAAGCAACTTTCCCCTGACTTATAAAGCTATGGTTCTATAATTCTTTTAAAAAGGAAAAAAAATGCTCATGTAGTAATCTAACTGGACATTCTTGATGACACTGTGATCTTCAAATTCTTTTGAAGAGCTGAAATCTCATCAGAATTACTCCAGAAAATCAGCTTGTCATATTTTCAGTAGCCTACAACAAAAAGAAAAAAAAAATCATTGTTTTTTTTTTAATTTAAAATACTGTGGAAAAAAGGATACCACGGCAGTATATCTGTGAATACTATACTGTATTTAACAAACAACTGTTCTCCCATGTAACAGCCATTTTTATCGGATCATAAATAACCTTCACTTTTTTGTGGTATATCAAATATACCTATTGAACCTAACACTAAGTTCAGTATAGAAAACATTGATGGCACATGAAATAATACTAGAGTACATGTAGAAAGGCACTATTACTTGAAGGATTAACACACAATAGACCTCGTTCTCAGTCTTCATTGGTTAGTTGTTTTTTTGTCCCCCCCCTCCCCCATTGCGCTGTCCATCATAGGGCTTGAATTCTGGGCCTGGGTGCTGTCCCTGAGCTCTTCAGCTTCAAGTGAACACTACCAATTTAGCCATAGGGCCACTTCTGGTATTCTGGTGGTTAATTGGAGATAAAAGTCTCAAGGACTTTCCTGCCCAGGCTGGCTTAAAACTCCGATCCTCAGATCTCAAGTCTCTGGATTAGGAGGATTACAGGCGTGAGCCACAGATGCCCAGCAGTTTCCTATGTTTTATTATAGTATAGAAGGGAATTAAGAATGAAGAAAGCCTCCCATGCTATGAGGTGGGGAGAACAAGAGAAAAAAAGAGAACTTCTGCCTAATCTTGTTCACCTAACTCCTGACTATTATACTCTCCTGGATTACAGTAAAAAGAAACTCCCAGGCATTATATCATTCATCAATGAATGCTGCTGAGTATATTTCTTTTTCTTTGTCAGCTATGAAGCTTGAACTCCATGACTGAGTGCTGTCACTGAGCTCTTTTTGGTCAAGGCTAGTGCTCTACCACTTTTTTTAATTGTAAAGGTCATGTACAGAGAGTTACAGTTACCTAAGTCAGGTAATGAGTAAATTTCATTTTTTTAGGACATTTCTTCTTAACAGTATGACCCCCTTCATTTTTTCTTAGTTCTCCCTCTCTCCCCATTACCTCCCAAGTTGTATAGTTAATTTCTAACATATCATTGCTGAATTAGTTCACCCCTTGTCCCAACGACAGTGCCACTTGTAGTTTTCTGGTGGTGGAGATAAGAATCTCGTGGACTTTCCTGCTTGGGCTGGCTTTGAACCATGACCCTCAGATCTCAGCCTCCTGAGCAGCTGGGATTAGAGGCATGAGCCACCTGCGCCCAGCTTTACTATGTGTATTTCTATTTTTAGCCTTCCCAAATTATTAGTTAATGCCACTATGAAAACAACAGATTTGGGGCTGGGAAGGTGGCTCAGTGGTAGAGCACTTGCCTTGCATGCATGAGGCCCTGGGTTGGATTCCTCAGTACCACATAAGCAAAAAGAAAAAAGCCAGATGTGGCGCTGTGGCTCAAGTGGTAGAGTGCTAGCCTTGAGCTGAAGAGCTGAGGAACAGTGAGTGCCCAGGCCCAGAGTTCAGGCCCTACGACGGACCCCCCCCACAAAAAAAAAAAAAGAAAAAAAGAAAACAGAAAACATTTAATTTTAGAAATGTTAGATTTTCAATATTTATATATTTTTACTTCCTAATTAAAACTTGCTTTTAGTTTGGTCTAAGTAGAGTTCTTTCATGAAAATCTTGTGAAATACTGGAAAAATTTAAATACTACAATCTGAAATAAGGCTGAAACTTTTTCTTTGCTGACAATATATGACTTTGTTTCCTAGTCAGCTCATAGACCCATTCTCGACAAGCTTTTCCTTCCTCTGAACTTACTACTTAAGAGAATTAAAGATTTTGGAAAAGTCTATTGTTCCAAAACATTTATAATTTCTATCTTTGTAGCTTCTGATAAAAAAAAGTTTTAGCTATGTACCGTGTAGGCACTGTTTATTTCCTTAGCCTCATTCTCAGTATTCCCTATTCAGAGACTTGAAATTATATAGTTTCAGTTTAAAACCAGCATATCTTAATTCAAATATAATTTGTCTTATCTAACTCTATTTTCATATCAACTGTAGAGAGTCTCTAGTAGATATGAAGCAAGTAGTCTCATTCTGATTCATTCGTATTATAAAACTGCAGAACTTTCTATCTAAAAGTCATGCAGAAACATTGTAGAAATCTAAAGCTAGGAGTTCACAATTTGCAAGGATCAGCCCAGATCCTTTAGTGGTTCTCTCCTCTTTCTTTCTCCTCAGGGCAATAGTTGGGAGGATGGGTAGAAGCATGAGATTTATTTAATCTTTCCTTCTTCAACGCCAATATCCTAATGTTAGAAATGTTCCTATACAATGAGCAATAAATCACAAATGTACCCTAAAGTTCTAGTAATCATTCAAGGATATCCACAATATAAAAAGGACAAGGCTTAGGTCACAAGAATATGCCAGTTACAGTATAATTCAAAGTATCACTGCACTAAAAAAAGATGCTGAAATGGTTTTTTGTATGTATGTATATCTATATGCATATATTATATATACACAAAATTATATATGTACATGTGTGTATATAAAATTTTGAAAAATTCTGGACAAAACTTGCTTGTGCTTCTTTCTCCATGTTGTTGGGGATGGATGACAGCCACATATCATTGCAGTCACTCATTATTTTCCCACAGTAGCTAGGATAACAGGATTGAGCCACTACAGTCAGACACTGGATGAGCCATTGGTTTTATGCCCATATTAGCCTTTATCCACAATCCCCCTATACCTTACCTCCCAAGGTGCTAGACTGCAGGCTTGATCCACCATGACCAGCTATTTCTTTTCATTTTTCTTACCAGAATTATGAGAGAATACTGACCCAAAGATTTATCTAGGTCATACAGTCCATGACTATTTCACTCCCAGTAACCATACTTTCCTAAATAGCTGGCTCACATATTCTTTATTTCTGTAGGAAGAAACAATATTTAAGTCACTAACTCTGAAGTTAGACAACTCTCATTAAAAAACTAGCTCAACTATTTACTTAAGTACTTGGGGTAAGTCAGCCATCACACAGTTCAGTTTCTTACCAGCACACTACTATTAATAGTAGTAATACACAGCCCTGTGAGACTAGACCTGTAGGGTTTAGCACAAGGAAAAGGGCTCATGCAAATATTAGTTATATTAACTAGCCAGTTCTTCCTGCTATGACCAGCCATAAGTAGGAGTTTAGAAAAGGCAGATGATGAAAAATGAGCAAGGGATTTGAAACATGATACCTACAAAAAGGGATGGCCAACCAAACAGGCACATGGCTTCCATCAGAAAAGTTTCCTAACATCCCTCAATTTCAGAAGGAAGCAGCTGGACAACTACAATACCACTGTTTTTCATAGAGATGGAGGGAAAACATTTACAGTGGGAAAAGTTTAACAGGTACCAATACCTAAATATGCTCGCAACTAGTTTCAGCTCAAAAACGAATTCACTTTGCTGACCAGCCTGCTTTCAGTTATTCCATCTTTTCCCTGTCCTCCCTTTCCTATCACTTCCCTCCTCTCCCTTCACCTCCTTTCTTTTTGGAATCAATTGGACCTCAAACGCTACGGATCTATGACTGAGCCATTCTCTAATGCCAAGTTATTCTTTTATTGTGGTGTTTGTTTTTTTTTCTTTTGGTCAGTGGTGGGTCTTGAACTCAGGGCCTGGGTACTGTCCCTGAGCAATTTTGCTCAAAGCCAGTGCTCTATCACTTCAAGACACTGCGCCACTTCCACTTTTCTGGTAGTTAACTAGAGATAAGTCTCACAGACTTCTCTGCCCAGGCTGGTTTGAACTGTGATCTTCAGATCTCAGCCTCCTGAGTAACTAGGACTACAACAAGTATGAGCCACCAGCACCCATCAAAGTTATACAATTTTTTTTTTTTTGGGTCCGGTCGTGGGGCCTGAACTCTGGGCCTGGGCGCTGTCCCTCAGCTCTTCAGCTCAAGGCTAGCACTGTACCACTTGAGCCATAGTGCCACTTCCGGATTTTTTCTTTTTGCTTATGTGGTGCTGAGGAATCGAACCCAGGGCCTCATGCATGCAAGGCAAGTGCTCTACCACTGAGCCACCTTCCCAGCCCCAAAGTTATACAATTTTTAAAATGACATTTTTCTCTTTTCTTTCTGTTTGTCTTCTTTCCTTCTCCCCATGTTAGGGAAATCAAGGTTAGCTTACACAACTGAAGGCAAGATCATCACATTCCTCTCCTCATCATACTAAGCACAGAAGTTAGGGGACATTCAGGACAGCCAGGTATACAATTCTGCATTAACATCAGTACACAGGAGATGAGCAGACCCAAGGCCCCTACATGGCCTGAAATCATGCCTCAGCACATACAATCAGAAGCCCATACGTCTGGGCATTTCTAAAAAAAATACAAAGACCCACTGATCAAGATGTACCATGCACATAAACTACATGCTGACTTGAAATCCCTCTGTATATATAAACTATTTAAACCAATACAAACAGCCCACCCTTCTCCCAGACACGAGGACTGTTCTTGAAATAAAGGTGTATATGGTCCCCATTTTGCCTGGCAAAATTAATAAGCCTTTACTTTTTTTTTCTTTTTGTCAGTCATGGAGCTTGAACTCTAGGCTTGGGCCATTGTCCCTTCACTCTTCAGCTCAAAGCTAGCACTCTACCACTTCAGCCACAGCACCACATCTGGTTTTCTGGTGGTCACTTGGAGATAAGAGTCTCACAGACTTTCTTGCCCGGGCTGGCTCTGAACCGCAATTGTCAGATCACAGCCTCCTGAGTAGCTAAGATTACAGGCGTAAGCCACTGGCGCACGGCTTTTTTTTTTTTAAACAAAACCTTGCTCTTACTTGTGAATTGGCATTGGGATCAGGAGACCAATTTTCCATCATCAGTCTGAGTTGGAAAAAGGCAGCACTTTGGGCTTGAAGCAACAATAGTCCTCCTGGTCTCTGAACCACTCATGTGACTTCAATTTAATTACATATGCACAGATATTATGCCCAAATATGATCAAATTCATCAATGGTTGGAGCTTGAACACATCTTTTAGGGGACAGATGCAACTCTATTCACCTAACAGAAAATTCTAAAACTAGTCAGACTTCTGGCAAAAGATAATATGGTCTATGGTAGTCACTTCTGTGATCTAATCACATGCCACAAAGTCCTGGTCTTCAGAATTCCCAATGCCAGATAGCTTAATCTTGTTAGGCTATTCTTTTACAAAACTTCATCATTAATCATTTTCTAAACACAAGTATCTTTATTTTGAATGAACTAATTCATGAATCTCTAACCTTGAGTGCTTCAGAGGCCTTGCGAAGCTCCTTAATAACAGATGATAAGGCTTCTGGGTTAATTCCTTGTTCACAAAGCCGTACACAAATAGACAGGGTTTCCATATCTAAACCAGTATTCAAAATTCTTGAAATCTCAAGAAGAACTGAAAAAAAGATATGAAGAACTTTTAAAAATCTTACAGTATTGAAATATGCACACCGTCCATTTGTTTTTAACTCCTATATGCCGACTCAACATCAAGGACTTTGCATATCTCAGGATTTAGAAAGCAGCACACAATGTTGCCTTGCTTGACCTTAGTTTTAGAAACTTAATCTCTCTTCACATAGCTGCCTTTTATACTGTACATATTACTCATTTAATACCAGGACTGTTCTAAATATTTCCTAATTTTAATAATAGTGCTATTTAATAATATTTAACAATAGCATTTAATTAGCTGCATAAAACATCTTCTTACAGAAACACCATGGTTACCTACTCTATTTTAAGAGTAATGGTTGTTCTTATGTTTCCCCTATTAAAATTACACAGATACTTTTATTTTATTAGGATAAGTTTCCAGAACTGCTTAGTGAGTAATACATACTTTTAAAGTTTTGCATGTTTGGAAAGTTTTACAACAACTTAATCATATGTGTTTAATAATAAAAATGAAACTTCATTCTTAACTTATACATTTTAATGTTGTTCTTTAAAGGATTTACTTTGATATGAGAGAGAAAATATTAACAAAGACAACTACGCTAGCAAACTGATTTTCCAGGAATCTCTTCTATTACAGAATATAAACACAGTGATTCTGTTGTAATGGTGGCTTTTTCTCAGACCTATATTCACTAGTATTGTCTTTCTTCACCTGAAAGTTTAGTTCCCTAACTCCTATACATGAGCTCCCATAAACAAGCTATCCTTTACTCAATCTTTAAGATACCACATTTATCACAATAAAATATCATACAGACCTGTACCATATTTTCTACCAGAGCAAACATTTTTAATTACTAACTTTATATATAAAGATTCCTTTTTACATTTCATGTATCCAAGCACTTTTATTTTGAGTGAGCTTACAAGTTTAATCCATCCCAAAACAAATTTCATCTGTATTTCTACTGGAGTTGTATGAAGAAGTTCATATTATTTTGGGAAGAACAGATGTTAACAATATTTAGTCACCCTGTACTTAAGTCCTGAAATTTTATGTCATCCATGATATTCATGCCACTTTCCTCTTCTCATATTAGACATTTATCTTCATCTCTGTGAGCATGGTTTGTTGAAATGCCTTCCATGTTTCTGTTCTTTTTGAACATATGGAAGGCAGTTTTATTGCTCTTATCTAATTCTAACGTCATTTTTATGTCATAACTGGATGATTTTTTTTCCTCATCATGGGCCATATTTTGTCCTGCTCTGCACATCTGATAACCTTCGGTTATAAGCCAGACATAAAATTTACTTTGTTAGGTGTTATTTTTGCACTTCTAAATATAACCTTGTAAACTTCTTTTCAAGAGTTATAATATTTAAAAGCATATGCATATTACTTTTGTTTTTAATTCATATATTCCTATACAACATCAAGGAATTAGCACAGCTTAGGATCTAGAAATCAGCACCCCAAATGCTGTACTTCCAAGTACTCCTATCTAATGTCTTATCAATTAAGTTTTCCATTCTGGCCTGGTGCAATGCACTATCCTCAGTACTATGTGAGCATGTACTGTTCTCTAACCTTCTGGATAATTGTTTCCTTAGCTTTCTGGGTATTTTTCACACATGTGTACCAATCAATGCTCTGAACATCCAAGAGAGATTCTTCTACATATCTTCAGAATTCCCAGGGAAGTTCTCTCCTAGGTATTCTGTGCAGTGATCTTGGTCTCTCAAACTCTATCTGGTTTGTCCTGGCTGCACTGAGGCCTAGAATCACTGAAAGCAAAGATCTGAGGCAATGAAGAGTTCACTTCATTTATTTCCGTTCCTTGGGGATTACAGTTTGATGCCCAATACCAGGTGTCTTAAAAACCTTTGTTCTGTATGTTTCACACACTCCCTCCCCTCAAAATGTGTAAACCCAGTTACCATTGCTCCATCCTGGCTGGAAAGTAGTCATTCTCATTTTCAATTCTTCAGTATAATTTACTAATACTTGCTTTGCTACAGTAGCCAGTCTGTTATCCCTGTAGCCTGAAGAATTTATTTCAGTAATTGTGTTTTAAAACTTCAATTTCTATCCCCATAATCACTTGTTCTTGTTTCACAAGAACATGTGAATGAATATATTGAGGATGGTGCTTGATATAGAGACAGCTCAATAAAAAGGCTTACTAAGCCTGGTATTAGTGACTCACGCCTATAATCCTAGCTACTCAGAAAGCTGAGATCTGAGGATCAAGGCTCAAAGCCAGGCCAGGCAGTTAAGTCCATGAAACTCTTATCTCCGATAAACAACTTCTTCTACTACTACTACCATCACTACCATTACTACATTACCACCACCACCACCTCCAAAAGAAAAAAAGCCAGAATGGGCTGGGAAGGTGGCTCAGTGGTAGAGTGCTTGCCTTGCATGCAAGAAGCCCTGGGTTCGATTCCTCAGCACCACATAACACATAAGCAGAAAAAGCCAGAAGTGGTGCTGTGCTCAACTGGTAGAGCGCTAGCCTTGAGCTGAAGAGCTGAGGGACAGTGCCCAGGCCAGAGTTCCGGCCCCACCGCAAAAAAAAAGCCAGAAGTGAAGCTATGGCTCAAGTAATAGAACACTAGCTTTGAGCAACGAAACTCAGGGACAGTGCCCAGGTCCTAAGTTCAAGTCTCAGGAACAGCAGCAAAAGAAAAGAAAAAAGAAAAAAAGAAAGAAAAACAAAGGGCTACCTATTATTCTTTCTCTTTTTCAGGTTCCAGGTTAGCTGCTTGCCTGTCTTCTCTGGAAGGTGTGATTCTTCACCGAAAACCGATCTTGAACAGAAAATTTTTCTCTGATGTCCTAGACTGTTGACATGTTCTTAGCCAGCTAAGTCTCAATCTGGCCTCAGCCCTCTGGTTTAGCCCTCAGCCCTCTGTAGTATGTTGGCCTATACTACTAAACACATGAATGGTGCTTCTCCATCTCTGGCAGCGGCAGATGGCACACTGCTGACCCCAGGTTCATTCACGCAGGGCAGAATGCTTCGTCAAGTTCTATTCCTAATTCCCTGCTGTGGTTCCCATCTGCTTTCTTTTGAGGATATCTTGCTCTTTCTAATCAATGGAAACTTCCTTTTCTTATTTTTGAATGTAGCTATGCCAATAATTATATTGTATATTATTTCCTATCATGTTATATGCTTTGAACATAAATTTTCACCAAGTGTTCAACTGACCATAATAAAAATTCACTTTAACTTTTCTTTTCTTTTTTTTTTATTGTAAAGCTACTATACAGAGGGTTACAGTTACATGAGTGAGGTTATGAGTACACTTCCTCTTGAACATTGTTACCCCCTCCATTGTTTTCCCCCTACCATCCCCTCCCTCCCTCCCTTCCCCGAGGTTCTTTTTTTTTTTTTTTTGATTGTGATTAAATGATTACATAATTTCAAAGTCACAAGTTCATTCTAACTTCCCTGGAGCAAATTGTCTACCACAGTCTGTAATATATAACAGTGTTCACATGTTATATACCATGTTTGTGATCAGCAGCATGGGGATATTTAGTAGTGGTTCAACCAGATGAGCGGGAGTTCTTTGTTTCTTAAGTCCTGTTAGTTTTGTCGTTTCACCTAACCTTTTGGATTTAGCATCCACTTATCAGGGAGACTATGTACCGTTTGTCTCTTCGTTCTTGGCTTACCTCGCTCAACATGATTCCTTCTAGCTCCATCCATTTCCCTGCAAATGCCATTATTTTGTCATTTCTAATGGCTGCATAATATTCCATTGTGTATAGATACCACAATTTTTGGATCCATTCATCTGTGGTGGGGCACCTAGGTTGTTTCCATATCCTAGCTATTGCGAACAGTGCTGCAATAAACATGGAGGTGCACGTGTCCTTGTATATTGGTTCCTGTTGTTCAGGGTAGATGCCTAGAAGTGGTATGACTGGGTCGTAAGGGAGGTCAATCTTTAGCTTTCTAAGGACCCTCCAGACTGCTTTCCAAAGTGGTTGTATAAGTGTACATTCCCACCAGCAGTGTAATAGGGTTCCTCTTTCTCCACATCCCCTCCAGCATTTGTCGTTGGCTGATTTGTGGATGTGGGACATTCTGACTGGGGTAAGGTGGTATCTCAGGGTTGTCTTTATTTGCATTTCCTTCACCACCAGGGATGATGAACATTTCCTCATGTGTTTCTTTGCCATTTTTATTTCTTTTAACTTTTATTTTCATATATGATTCTACTTCATCTGTTCTAAATGGTTATCATTGCTATTTTGAGGCTTTACATATTTTTAGCTTATTGCCAGCACTGTAACAAATCTGACTGAAGCTTTTAATGATGTTTCAATTGATTCTCTCTAGCTTTTCATCTACAAGTAACAGTTTCATTTCCTTTTCAATAATAGATTTTCTTATGTCATGCTATGCACCAAATTCCTTAAATAGACATTTTAAAGAAAAGAGTGAAAAGCAGATGTTTCTGAATTTATTTGGAATGTGCTTAACATAGCATTAAACATGTTGGCTTCATATAGGTATCTTTCATTTTGTCAATATACCATTTTCTTGCTAAGACTGTTTTTTAAATCAGGAAAACTGTTGAGTCTTATTAATAGCTTTTCTTCAGTTATATTAACAGATTTCCTAATTAGCTAAAGAACAATGATCTAGAACATCTTTACTTATACAGAAAGCAAGCCCGCATTTTAACTAAGGGAAGATGCTACCCTACTTCTCTGTAAACACCCTGAGAAACGGTCAGGGGAAGGGTATTACATTCATGGCCTGGCACTCTTGGTTTACAGGAGGACAGATAAGCTTAGGGGCCATGATGAACTATACTCTATTCACTTACAAGATAAAATTTAAAAAGACAATGTGGCTTTCTTTTGATACTCTTCTTGAAACCCAGTAACCAAGGACCAGGAAATCATGTACAGACAAGTGCTTGTGGAGGGCCTACCTGACAGCCAGCCTACACTAGCAGATATTTGAGTGAGGAGAATGAAGTGACTCCATTCAGCTACTGTATAACTGAACAGGTAAAGGCTTAATATATAGACCATGAGATGTGTTTTTTATTGTTTCCTGGTTGCTGTTGGCTTTTTGTTTTTTGTTTTGTTTTTCTGCCAGTCCTGGGGCTTGAACTCAGGGCCTGGGTACTGTCCCTGAGCTTCTTTTGCTCAAGGCTAGCACTCTACTACTTGAGGCAAAGTGCCACTTCCAGCTTTCTCTGTTTATGTGTACTGAGGAATCTAACCCAGGGCTTCATGAATGCTGGGCAAGTACTCTACTTCGAAGCCCCATTCCCAGCACTTTGAGCCTACTTTCCAATTGGTATATACACACTTACACACATACATTCTATGCCTATTTATGCTAGTGCTGGAAAGATAACTGTGAAAAAAAATATGGTCCAAGTCCTCAAATATTAAAACTGAGTAAAGATAGATAATAAAACAGATTCCAATGGTTTGGCTGTGTTCCCCAACGTTCATATCCCCAATAAAACAACACTAAAACACAGGCATTAGGGGAGGTCATTAGGGCATAGGGATTTGTCCTCATTAACATTATCTTAGGAGTGGGTTAGTTATCTCTCAGGAGTGAGCTCCTGAAAAAAGGATGAATCTTGTCTCCTTTCCTCTCATTTTCTTTTGTACATGTGCTCTTGGCATTTCACCTTCCACAAGATGCAATAGGACCTTGACAAACACATAGCATTCATAACTAAAAAAATGAATATTTTTTTTTATAAATTACCCAGTCTATTCTGTAATAGTAGCACAAAACAGACTGAGATTTCAGTTTTAAGTAAGCACAATAAAGAAAAAGAATTACATACTTCTGAAGCAAATCATAAAGGGTACCTTACCAGCGGGGCTCAGATGGCTCATGTCCATAATTCTACTCAGGAGGCTAAGATCTGAGGATTGCAACACTAGCCTGGGTAGGAAAGTCCCTGAGACTCTGATCTCCAACAAACCATGAGAAAACTGAAAGTGGTGCTGTGGTTCAAGTGACAGAGCATTAGCCTTGAGCTGAAGGGCTCAGAGTCAGCGCCCAGGCCCAGAGTTCAAGCCCCACGACTGACCAAAAAATAAAAGGGGGGGGGGGGTGGGCACTTTATCAACTTTAGAAGGATGCTATGTTGGAGAAAGACTTGTCTGAAGAAGTGACAACCTTACACTTCAAGGATGAGCAGAAATCAACTTGAGGCAGAAGGAAGAGATGGGTGAATGATAGTAAACAACATACTTCCCATTTGGAAAATGCACACTGTTAATGTGAAGGCAATGTTAATTAAGAAGATGGTTGAATATAAAACAAGAAGAGTGAAAATTGTCAATCTATAAAGCCCTATTACAGAGTTTAGAACTTGGAAAACTATTGGAAGATATAAAAAGCAGAATGTAACAAGATCAATCAGATAAGCACTTGAAGAGTCTTTGGCGGACTATGGACTAGATCTTAAAAAAGAGTAGAGTATATACATGTTGAATGCATTATATTATTGCGATTTTGGTGAGAGACTGAGGAATGGAATACCCAGGAGATATTAAGATAGGTGGTTTAAAATGAGATGAAAAAACTAGAGTTAATACCCAGATTTCCTTCTCAAGTGAGCAACTGGATTGATGGTACTTAACTATTTCACTGGCTCTGCCTTATAGTGCTAGTTAAATGCTCTTCTTTTCTCTATAATGGATTTTATAAGCTGGTACTACGTTGAAATCTCTGGTAAGGAATAACTGTCATAAATTTAATTACAAGAAGTAAAATAAGGCTGGGAATGTGGCTTAGGGGTAGAGTGCTTGCCTCGCATGCATGAAGCCCTGGGTTTGATTCCTCAGTACCACATGCACAGAAAAAGCCAGAAGTAGCGCTGTGCGCTCAAGTGGTAGAATGTTTGCCTTGAGAAAAACAAGCTCAGGGACAGCGCCCGGGCCCTGAGTTCAAGCCTCAGGACTGGCAAAAAAAAAAAAGTAAAATTAAAATTAGAGGAAGTAAATTTACAACTAAATCCTAAGAATTTTAGAATATAAGGCAATTAAAAATTATGAAGCTATTATTAGGAATTTTAACTTCAAAATGTTGGAAAGCAAAAGAAGTACATTGTGAAACAGAGGTGGCTGTTCTTAAAGGCTTATTTCAAGGGGACATATTAGAGAAAATGTTGAATGCCTAAAATAAGAGTAGGGGATATTGTGTTATATGCCTTATACTAAATACTTACGGAGTAAAGTGTGCAGACAAATTACAAAGTCTACTTGCTTACTCTCATGTGAGAAACATTTTTTTAAACATAATCCTTGTGAAATTTTGTAAAATCCTCTCTGAAATTTTATTTTTTTTAAATTTAATGTTATTAACAAAGGGGGTACAGTTACATACATAAGGCAGTGTATACATTTCTTGTTGAACATTGTTACCCCTCCCTGTTTTCCTCCCATTTTCCCTCCCCACCCAATTTGTAAAGTTCGTTTTCAACATACTGTCTTGTCCTCTCTGAAATTTTTTTAAAAGCTTAAATCATTGTTAGCTGACTAATATTCATGGGAAGGAGGAAGAGTGAGGGAGAATATTCTAGCTCTTTAAGGGAGAAATACACAAAATTTTTAAATTTTAACCACCTTTCATGAACTGATTCTAATATATTGAAACCCTATAGATATACCCTTTTTCTTTTTTTCTTTTTTGGTCTGATCGTGGGGCCTGAACTCTGGGCCTGGACGCTGTCCCTCAGCTCTTCAGCTCAAAACTAGCGCTCTACCATTTCAGCCACAGCGCCACTTCCGGTTTTTTTCTTTTTTGCTTATGTGGTGCTGAGGAATCGAACCCAGGGCCTCATGAATGCAAGGCAAGCGCTCGACCACTGAGCCACCTTCCCAGCCCGATATATCCTTTTTCTTAAAAAAAAAGTTTTTCTTTGGCTTTTACTTGATTATGTTCTTTTACTCTCTATCGTCTTCCTCTTACACCAAATTCTCTCAGAAAAAATCTTGATGATCCAACCTATTCAAACTCTTAACTCTCATCTGTACCTCAATAGGTCCACCAGACATAAAATAGCAATCTTCCACTCAAACAGAATCTTACTGGAAACCTGAAGAATGTTAACTAGTACTCTAAACAGAGGTTACAAAAGAAATTGGTTGAAAGTGAGGTCCCATTCTGTTAAAAACAGAAACAAAACACTAGTTTCTAAGGAAAGACAATAATGTTATATACATACAAATTCCTTACATACTTCAGAAAATTTATTCTGCAAAATAAAACTAGTAAGCTGTGAAACATCAAGAAGGATTAAAGAAATAGGTTGGATAAGGAAAACTAGCTAAGTGGATACTGCTCAGGTCAAAATGAATAATGGCAGGGCTTGGAATGTGGCTTAGTGGTAGAGTTGCTTGCCTAGCATGCATAAAGCCCTGGATTCCATTCCTTAGTAAGCAGAAAAAGTGGTACTGTGGATCAAGTGGTAGGGTGCTAGCTTTGAGGGAAAGCAGCTCAGGGTCAGTGCTCAGGGTCTGAGATCGAGCCACAGGATTGGCACACACGCGTGTGCGCACACGTGAACGCGTACACACACACACAGGAATGATGGCAAATAAGAGAAGTGATTCTTTGAAAAAGAAAAGCAACAGCTAGTGAAGAAAAATCCAGAAGACTTTATGAGAAGCTCCTAGATGAAGGGGCTATACAACATGGGAGTCTTCATTGAAAGGAGACACAGCTTGGAAGGCTCACCCTCCTAGTGGAAGGTATCTTATTTTATTTGGAGAGTTATCTTTTAACAGAGGTAAAGCCTGGTGAGGTAACCCCTGGAAACCACAAGAAGGACTGCAATGACTAACATCCCCCCACCCCAGTCATATAGATGGAGATAAGTAAAATAAAGACAGAAAGGTACTCGCAGATGGCATGACAACTGTCATAAGGAGAAAAAAAAAAAAATTCAAAAGCTGGGCGCCAGTGGCTAAGCCAGTAATCCTAGCTGCTCAGGAAACTGAGAGCTGAGGATCATGGTTCCAAGGCAGCCCGGCTAAGACGTCCCCGGGAGACTCTTAGCTACAATTAACCACCCGGAAACCGGAAGGCAAAGAACTCAGGGGCAGAGTCCAGGCCCTGAGTTCAAGCCCCACAACGAATCCCCACCCCGTCTCCCCCCCACAAAAAATCCCAAACCTGATTACTTTTGATACACTTTTGATATATCTGGATGTCTTAAATATTCACAGTAACTCAGGGAGGCATGGTTTTATTTCACAGAAGGAAAAAAAAAATCTCGAAAGATGTTAAGTGATCCATTCAAGAGGCACAGAGTCACAAGGTCTACGTCTACACCTCCTCCTCCTCCACCTCCTCCACCACCACCTCCACCACCCAGTCCAAAACAAAACTAGGGGGGAGAGGATGCCAGGGCCACTCGTTCCTCTGCTAGATACTTAAAACTGCGCCCGGGCGCGGGCAGGCGGCTCCTCAGTACCCGCGCGTGCACGGGCCTGGCCATCCCCGCCCCCCTCCCCCGTAGCGCTCGGCGGCGGCGCGGGAAGAGAGGGGCGGGTCCCGCGAGATCTGGCGCGAAACGCGGGAGCGCGCTCACGGGATGGGGATGGGGACGGGGGAGGGGGAACGGCAGCAGCCCGCAGACGTAGGGACCCCAGCGCCTCAAGGGATGCGACCGTCGGCGTGGCGGTGCTGGCGGGTCTCCGCTCCAAGACCTTCGAAGATGGCGTGGGACGCGGGCGGCAGAACGCACCTCGCTCCGAGGCACACCCGTCCTGGAGGAGTGCCTGGCCAAGGTAAAATGGGGGGACGCCGCGACCACTCACCGTCCATGGTCTCCCTCACTGCATTCAGGTTCGCCGCCGCCGCCGCCCCGGCACCGCTGCCGCTAGCCATGGCGGAGGCCGCGGAAGGCGGGAGCAGCGCCTGACCCGGAACTGGAGCGTCTTCCTCTTCTCCCGGGCAACCGCTCGGCGCGTCCCCGCTCACGCCCGCCAGGCTCCGCCCCCTCGTGCCCGTCGCCGGCGTGAGGCTGCGTTGATTTGAATTTCGAGCCTCGCTGCACTGCGCGGAACGTAGAGTGAGGAGTTGGCGTTCGAATTCACTCCGCCGCGTCGATTTTGATTGGTCGGTTCGAGGACGGCGGCGAGCGGTGATTGGCCAGTCGCCCCGCGGCCTGGTTGGTCGAAGGTAGCGCGGAAGCGGGGAGTTAAAGAGTCTGTGGCTGCCTGTCTGTCGTGTGTGCTGTCGTGTGTGCTGTCCCCGGCCCCCTCCTGTGATCCCTGGAGCCGATATTGGGGGGCTCCTTTTTTGTACACACTTATCGGTACGTTCGTTACGATTCTTGAGCTATTCTTTCTCGAGTTGGAAAGCTCACGTTTCTTAGCTCAGGACTTGCTTTACCTGCTCACCACGGGATGAATGAGAACAGCGAGGGGAGTAACTTTGCAAGAACAGGGGCGCCTAGTAGCTTTGGGGGTGACCTCTCTGCTCGTCAGACAAGGGAGCCAGATGTACTTCGGCTTCTCAAAAGTAGATTTTCTTCTCTAGTTGTAGCCCCCTTTGAAGGGAAGTAATGCAGTCTAGCTTTCTACGGATGGGCAATGCTTGACCCAAGAGGCAAAGGGCAGTTAATTCTTTATACTGTCACTCATACTTCTCTAGCGAGGGCACAAACTTCTGCGTCTCTTATTTGCTTGCTGCGAAGAATTGTTAAATAACTTTAATTCGGTGAGAGAATTACTAACTTCTCGGAAAGATGATCAGAGTCTTGAGATAATGAGTTTATAAAGCTACCAGTAGGAATCATAGGGTTGGAAAGCTGCTTGTGCCTACTGTACTATTTAATCAGTACCTCAAAGGTAGTCCTGAACTCATTTAAATTCGGTTGACTCTTATTTGTTATAAGACACTTCCCTGAGTTTGTTAAATCTTCTGCCAAACAACAGTGCTAATAGTAGTAGCTTTCCTGCCTAGCTTTCAAGGTTCTTTCGAGGATCACTTGAGAAAAATGTGATTTTTTTTTTTTTTGGTAAACTATAAAATAACCCCGAGGGTTAGATTTTCAATTAATTCTTTTGGTGAAATTATCTATTTAATATATCTTCATTTATCAACATTAATGTCTATGATACTTTGTCATTTTAATATGCAAATTTCTTATTTATTTTAGTTTGCTTTCTGTGCTATGGGAGATGTCAAAGAATTAAAAATGCAAATAACACCAGAAACTCCAGGAAGAATCCCCGTTTTAAATCCTTTTGAAAGTCCTAGTGATTATTCTAATCTGCATGAACAAACTCTTGCCAGTCCTTCTGTTTTTAAATCCACAAAATTACCAGTAAGTTATTATGTACTTATGTTTACAACGAATTTTAGGCAGACTACTTACAAATAATTTTAAATGTTAAATATTTTAACAGTAAGAGGGAACATATAAATGCAATGCATCGTGGAACATATAAATGTAATGTGTCATTGTTGTGTTTATTGCAGCCTAGTGATTTGGGACAGTAATAAGTTAGCTAGAAAAAAATGTTAGCATCTGCTTTTTAATTTTTTTCAATTTTAATTGTTATGTAAAAACATAAGAATGGTACATATTTGTGACAGCCCTTATCTCTTCAATATTTATAATTTATGTTGAAATATTCAAAATCCTAGCTTTTTAAAATGCAACATTTATTATTATCTATAGTTAGGCTGCTGTGCAGTAGCATACCAGAATTTACTAGTATCTGGCTTTTTAAATTTTATTTTTCTAGATTTTTATATTTCATGTGTAGGTAGATATGTTTCAGGCTGTTTCCTCTAATTATGTAGTCTTTAAGTTAGGAACCAGACAGGAAATACTTTATTTATTACATGTCATCGGGGTCACAGTTAAGGTACTAAACATCTACTCTGTATTGAAACAACAGCCATGGCTGCACAACATGAAAACAGTGTGTCTATGTTCAAATAAAACATTTTGGACACTGAAATTTGAATTTTATGTGATTTGTCATGTCATAAAAAAATACCCATTTGGATTTTTGTGGGGTTTTTTGTTTGTTTGTTTGTCCTGGGTCTTGGGTCTTGAACTCAGGTCTGGGTCCTGTCCCTGAGCCTCTTTATGCTTAAAGCTAGGACTCTACCACTTGATCCACAGCACCATTTCCAGCTATTTCTGACTTATTGGAGATAAGAATCCCAGAGACTTTGGGCTGGCTTCAAACCAAGATTCTCAGATCTCAGTCTCCTGAGTAGCTTGGATTACAGACATGAGCCACAGGTGCCCAGCTCCATTTGGGTTTTTTCTTTTTTAGCTATTTAAAAATATTTTAACTGCCCCACATGCTGGTGGCATATGCCTATAATTCTAGCTACTTGGGAGGCTGAGATCTAAGAATTGCAGTTCAAAGCTAGCTTGGGCAGGAAAGTCCATGATACTCCAGTTTCTCCTTAATTGCCAAAAAGTCAGCGTAAAGCCCTGTCTCTAGTAGAGTTCTAACAAGCACAAAAGCTCAGGGACAGGGCTTAGTTCTGAATTCAAACCCCAGGATCAGAGTGCGTGCTCACGTGCACGCGCACACACAGATAGATAGATAGATAGATAGATAGATAGATAGATAGATAGATAGATAGATAGATAGATAGATAGATAGATAGATAGATAGAATATATATTGAAACTGTTCTTAGCTGAAAGAAGCTATCTCAAATAGAGGTGTGGCTCAAGTGGTAGATTACCACTTTTGAGTGTAAAAGCCAAGCAGGAGTACCATACCCTGAATTCAAGCCCTAATACCAACAATATATTTAATCCCAAAGTTAGGTGGTAGCACAAATTTATCATCCCTTCTCTGGAGAAGTGGAGACAGGAGGGTCACAAGTTGCAGGCCAGATGGGCCTACATAGTGAGACATTGTTTGAAGAAACCACTACCTCCATGCTGATGGTATAGACACAGTTAAATTGCAATTTCAAAGAGAAGATAAGTTCTGTGATGAATACAATGTGATAAAAAGAGATTGTGTTCTTTAAGATATTAGGAAGGCTTTTAGGGACTTAAGAGCTTTTGGAATCCTTAGTGCTTCATTTAAATATGATTCATTCTTAGTGTAAAGGCTTTTGAACTTTAATAACCCAGAGATTTCTACCTTCACATGAGCATGACCTATCACTATTGAGTGTTAATTGTGGAATTTCTATACCTTTTTTACTCTGAACAGTCTTATATCATTTTTTAATCACTCAGATGAAGTTTTAAGAGATATAGTTGATTTAGTGTGATTTGATGAACATCTGCCTTTTAATTTAGTGGAAAAATAGAATATGAAAATACAAGCTTTAGAATTAAGTATTTTCAGCTTATACCCATTCACATTATTTCTTTGAAGGTGACATTGGCTAGCATTTTGACAAAGTATTTTAGTTTGCTTTTACTTACAAGCTCACTTTTCTTTTGCTAAGACTCCAGGGGAATTTAGATGGTCTATTGATCAACTAGCTGTAATAAATCCTGTAGAAATAGACCCAGAAGAGATTCATCGTCAAGCGTCATACTTAAGTCATTCTCGGTAAGTTTTTCTTTCATATAACTAAATATAGTTAAGTGAAGAGATACAAGAAATTGTAAGTCATTCTCGGTAAGTTTTTCTTTCATATAACTAAATGTAGTTAAATGAAGAGATACAAGAAATTGTAAAAGTTGAATGTTTGTATATGTAAAGATACTGAGGAAGAAAAAAATTTTATGTGGATTTTTTTCCTATCTAAATGAGTGAGTTCAAAGACCTATATCTACAAATATTCTCTCATCTTCCCAGATCTGGTAGAAATTCTTTTTTGAGAGATACATAATCTCTGATAATCTCTGTTGCTTATGAAACAGTTCTGCCTCCCCAGTACTTGGGAAAAGAAAGGACATTTTAAAATCTGTACCTTTTTCCATCATGTGACGTCTGACTTATTTTTATTTATTTTGGTTTGGGTTTTGGTGTTTCAGGAAAAAGCAAGATTCTATGTTAGGGAAAGCCTAAAATCCCCTTCACCAGTTAAGGCACATTGGCTTGAAGAACGTTCATTAAAAGCAGAGAACTTTTCGGACATCATCTCATTTTAACATAGCTCATTGGAGAATTAGTTATACTTCCTTGAAGTCTACATAATACCTACATAGTTTTAACTTTTTCATTGATAGATTGTGTGAATTTCAACCTACTAGTGTGCTTTACACTTGTGGAGCTTTGATTGGGTGAGGCCAAATGTAGTAAGCACATGCTTCTTAAAATCTTTTTCCCCAGTATTGGTGTTTGAACTCAGGGTCTCCCACTGTTTAGCTGGCACTCTGCCATTTGAGCTGCTGTGCTTTTGGCTGATTAGTTTGGAAATGGAGTCCTGTGGACTTTTCTGCCCTGACTGGCTCATATATTGGTCTTTATGATCTTAGTGTCCCTAAAAGCTAGAATTAAAGATGTGAGCCTCTGGGGCCTACCTTAGAACATGGACTTCTAGTATTATAGGTAATAGTATTTACAACTTGAGGCCTATTGTTTTAGTACCTTTTTTTAATATTTGAAAAGAATCAAATACATGGCATGTCCAGCTTTTAATTTTCTGTCTGGAAGTAGAGATGTTGTCAGTCTGAAACAATGGGATCTTTTCCCCTAAGACATTAAAATTCATTCACACACAGAACCATGCATGTGGATATATTCTTACAAATACTTTCCTGACTTTTGTATTCCATTCTTTCTTTACTAACTTAATGATTATTCACTTTCATTAATGTTCATAAATGATTATAGTAATGGAATTGAATGGAGATAAAGCATAAGATTTTAAGAATACCTTTAAGAGAGAAGATAAAAACCTTTTTATCTAAAAGCAAACAAGCCACTGTTAATTACTTTTTGTCTCCCAAGCTATAGATTTTGTCCATTCTTTCAATACATTGAATCATGGTCAATTTTTCACCCAGCTGTGAAGAGGCATTTACTGAGTATTTTGAAGCAGTGTGAGAAACAGGAACACTGAAAAGTGTATTATAATGTACAATATTATTTCTGCCCCAAAGAACTAACAGTAGAGCTAGACCGAACTTGCCTTCACTTACTAATAAATAATGTATCGACTGGGTGTCTTCTCATCAGCCCCTAAACTGGGACTTTAATTCAGGGCCTCATGCTTCATCATGATGCCTGTATGTATTTACTGTTAGTATTTTTAGAATGGTGTCTTCTGTTTGTAACTTGGTCAGTCCTGGACTGTGAGCCACCTACCTTCACCTCCCCAGTAATCTAGGACCAACATGCTTCTCTTCTCTTCTCTTCTCTTCTCTTCTCCTCTTCTCTTCTCTTCTCTTCTCTTCTCTTCTCTTCTCTTCTCTTCTCTTCTCTTCTCTTCTCTTCTCTTCTCTTCTCTTCTCTTTTCTCTCTTTTCTCTCTCCTTCCTTCCTTCCTTCCTTCTTCCTTCCTTTCTTCCTTCCTTCCTTTTTGGTGCTGGTATTTGGGCTTGAGCTTAGACCCTGAGTTCTGTCCCATAGCTTTTTTACTCCTCAAAAGTAGCCCTCTGACTTGAGGCACAGCTCTACTTCTGGCTTTTTGGTGGCTAATGAGAGAAAAAAGTTTCAACCAATTGCTTGCCTACACTGGCTTTGAACTGCATTCCTCAGGTCTCAGCCTCCTGAGTACCATTTACAAGCATGAGCCACTGGCACCTGACTGACCTATTTTTGATGGGATATTCCACTGACTTTTTGCTCAGTATAGCCTCAAATCATGATCTGTTTTTGCCCCCTGAGTAGATTACAGGTATATGTTACTACAGATACTTCCTTCCTCATACATTTTTAATGTATTTCAGTAAATAGTTTTATAATATAGGACAAAGGAAAGGAGTGGAAAATTACTTAAGTAATTCAGTGAATTTTTATGGCTTCTTCTGAGGATAGTGGAAATACTCTTCGTGTGTTGTTTCATTCTTAGAAAAAAGCAGTGGCTTTTAATACCACTTCTTACTCAATAACTACTCACTTCAGTTCTTCCCCCGTCCTCATCATGTACACAAAGAGAATAATAAGTATAAGATGCATACTGGCATGAATAAATGAGTCATGTCCACACAGGTGGTTACTACTCTTGAAAGTTTTCTCTCCAGCATCCCAGACACCAACACTCAAGGCAGTCATGCTACTCTTGTATTTCAGTGTGGTTCAGTGATATGCTGGTCCTAATACTCAAACTTCTTAGGACTTTGAATTGGGGTCAATAGTATTCGGCTACCCTGATTTTTTTACTAGTTTCAGTGATCATCTGAATATTTTATGTTCTTGAAGTCCCTCTAATAAACTAGTAGAAGGTTTCTAAGTAGGGCAAAGCTAGGTTAGTGCTTACATAAGCTAAGACAGTTATGCACTGTCATTTTGACCTGGTTGTGAACATGATCAGGTAAAGAGAACTGAGTTATGTCCTCAAAATGGCTATCATGCCAGCTGAGATATGTGGATTATCACCATAGTTTATTTTCTCCTAATTTTTTTATTTGAAAAAGCTACATGATTTAAATTTCTGAAGTGTGTACATTCTCAAAAAACCTTTGTTAAGCCAGGAACAAATATATGCATGGAATAGTTTCTGAGAGAAAAAAATAATTTAAAAAATGTATACTAATTTCTGAATGAACTACAATCATTCTGTCCTAAGGGAAAAAAATTAAGTGGTCCTCGAAGGCTAACTGCTAAAATATTAGCAAGTTTAGGCCTTATCTTTAGACCTGAGTTCTTTCTTTCTAAATCTACTAGCTGAGGAATTTGTGATAGTGTAATTCCTTATTATATCAAACTTTAAAAAATATGCACCAGGGGCTGGGAAGGTGGCTCAGAGGTAGAGTGCTTGCTTTGCATGCATGATTGCCTGTATTCAGTTCCTCAGCACCACATAAGCAGAAAAAGCTGGAAGTGGTGCTGTGGCTCAAATGGTAGGGTGCTAGCCCTGAGCTAAAGAGCTGAGGGACAGCGCCCAGGCCCAGAGTTCAAGCCCCAAGACTGACCAAAAAAAAATGCACCAGGTCTGGGAAGGTGGCTCAGTGGTAGAGCGTTAGCCTTGAGCTGAAGAGCTGAGGGACAGCGCCCAGGCCGAGTTCAGGCCCCACAACTGGACCCCCCCCCCCCCCCCAAAAAAAAAAAATGCACTAAATGCTGTTTTATTTCTGAATCACTGTTTTTGCTGTTTATCCAGAACTGTAAAGATGATAGTTTTTCCTCCATTTCAGAGTAAAAGTTTATCCTAAAATTACCACTGTGATAAACTTATTATAACTGAAAATACAATTTGGGCAATTTTTAGATTTTTGTCAAATGAAATATTTCTTCATTTGCATTGATTAAGGAACAGACTTCATTGAAATTTATTTTGTTGGCAGTAATTTAAATCAATACAAATCTTTAAAAAGAAATTACCCCATTCAAACTTTGAATGGAAGGAAAGGAAGTAAAAGTAAGCCTGATAGTTAAATGCTGAATCTCAGAATTCTGCCATTAACTAAATGTTATATCATGCCAATTTTTCTTTTAAAGTGAGTTTAACATTTGTCAGTTTGCAGTGGAGGGAAATTATTCTTTGAAAGGTTATTATTTGAACTGTTCAATAAGCTGAAGTAATAGCCTGGTTATTTTTCTTCTTTATCTCTGTATAGAATAGATAAAGATGTGGAAGACAAAAGACAAAAAGCCATTGAAGAGGTAACTTAACACTGTTACTGATATATGATTAAGCCAGTTAAGGATTAATTCTGCCTCTGTGTCACTTCCTTTAGGAAGTCTTTCTCCAAATACTTCCTGTTTCCCTATCAGTCCTCTTCTTTTCCCTCTGTAGGTTAAGCATCCTTTTGTGCCTTTGTCAGACCTATGATGTTCAGTCATCTTGGTGTACCTCTCTTAGCACTCCTATATTAAGGCAATGATTGGCTTAGTGCTTCTCTTCCCCTGCCTTTTTTGGCCAATATTGTGCCACTGTCATCATTTCATTCTCAGGGACTGAATAATTTATCTTTCCTTTGACTTCAGAAGGTGGCTAGCACAAAATTCCATTTCAAGTGGGAGTTTATGTAAGCAAAGCTGAATTCTTTCAGGCCAAAAAAGTCTAGATTAACATAGGTAATTGTGTAGTCTTTTGTTGTTAATACATGGAATTTTTAAGACAATATATTTCATGAAGTAAAAAAGGTCATATTAGTAAAGTATAAATGTAAAGCTTTTGTTTTGTAAAGGTTTTTAGTAAACATAGTGAACTAAGTTTTTTACTTTTTGCTTTTTTCCCCCAAGGCTGGGACACAAACTCAGTATCTTAACACTCTTGCTTAGTGACTGTTGCTTTACCACCCGACCCATGCCTCCAAACCATTTTTTGTTTTTGATTGTCAAATCCCTTCTCATTGACTGTAAGAATTATCTAATTCTTTCCCCAGAAAGATCTTTTTTTTTTCTTTTTTTTTTTTTTTTTCGTCTAGTTACAGGGCTTGAACTCAGGCCTGAGCACTGTCCCTGAGCTTATTTTGATCAAGCCACAGTGCCATTTCCAGCCTTTTCTGTGTATGTGGTACTGAGGAATCAAACTCAGGGCTTCATGCATGCCAGGCAAGCATTCTACCACTAAGCCACATTCTCAGCCCCCAGAAAGATCTTACACCATGGAAAGATACCTCTTTTTCCTGAGTCACCCACTTACCCACCTCTTCCCTTAGATATAGTATACTTGGCTTTCCTTTTGCTAATAATCTTTCTTAGATATTTTTGGATACTTAGATATAAAGATTTACATTTTTTGCAGTAACAATGCAATAGCCCTGGTCCCCATTGATCTTTCTTTGTATTTTGTGTGCTTTGAATGGATTTGCTGAGCCTGAGGTTTTATGAATTTATCTGCAGTACTGACGATCATTTCTTTTTAAGATTTATGCTTTTGTTGTTTAAAGTGACATCTTACTTAAATATATATTTCCTTAATTTTGACCTTCAAGACATTTCATAAGTCTATGGGACTTTTCTAATTTTTTTTTGTGTGTGCATTGTTTATATTGTTTATACCAAGGCTTTCCCATTCCCTTAGTTTTTAGAACTTTTCCTCATAGACTCAGAAGTAGTTAAAGAAACTCTGTCATACCTTGAAAAATAAAATATTGTGCCCTTAAAACACAGGGAAAGGAAATTGCTATATTAGGAATGAAATAAGGAATGCATCCAAATGTTGTATCTCCATTTGAGTATACAGGCTAGAAGTATACTCAAAGATTTAATATATATAAACAATGTATAAATGTTTATACTTAAATGATGAATAACTAGCTGTCTTGTTTTGTAAGAGCAAGGTTTGTAGGGACAGCTGCTATTCACAGTGTAAATACTGTAGCCATAGCTAATTTCAAGCTATTGATGTCATGTCACAGAATGGGAAAAGTGGAATTACAGATTATAATATGAGGGAATTCTACCACAGAGGTATTAAAGATGTAAAGATGTTGGAAGATCTACTAAAATAATCAGCAACCAGTGAGATTTGAATTTTATATCTCATTATAAGCTTATTTTTAATACTGGCTTTAACAGTTGCTATATATAATTCCCAAAATGTTAATGAGCAGACCTTGAGAGCCAGTACAAGGTAGCTTCAGCACATCATTTAGACTGGCTGAGTTGTCTACTTTTCTATTTTCTATTTCATTCCTTCCCTCTTGATCTTTCCTTTGTTGTGACCAACTTCATACATCCAAAAAATTAAAATAATTTCTCTATAATTAATTCTGTTTATGATTGAATTAATTTCTTCAAGAATAAACTTAATTTATAAATTTTGAATGTAAGTGGTGGATTTTAAATATTGTTTTCTCTTTATATGTACTTGAAGTTTCTCCCATTTACCTTTAGTCATTAATATTTTTAAGTACTAAAATCTCAGAACTAAGCCAGGTGCCAGAGGCTCACGCCTATAATCCTAGCTACTCAGAAGGCTGAGATGTAAAGATCATGGTTCAGTGCCAGCCAGGGCAAGAAAGTCCATGAGACTACTATCTCTAATTATACACCAAAAAGCTGAAAGTAAAGCAGTGGCTCAAGTGGTAGAGCACTAGCTTTGGGCAACAAAGCTCAGGAACAGTGCCCAGGCCCTGAGTTCATTGTCAAGACCAGCACAAAAAAACAAAAACAAAAAATTTTTTAAAACTTGAACTAAAATCATACTATGACATGACTGATGGCTATTTGAAAATAGTAGCAGTTCCTTTTTTAATTTTGCGGGGCATATATGCCTAATTGTATGACTTTAATTTTCCTAGTTTTTCACTAAAGATGTCATCGTCCCATCTCCTTGGACTGACCATGACGGGAAGCAGCTTTCAGAATATCATTCCAGTAAATGTGAGTGCTAAAAATTAGATGAGTTGAAGACAAAAATAAAATTACAACATAGTAAAGTGCCAGGGTATCTGTTTTGGTAAGGAGTTTGCTTAAAATTAAATTGTATTAAATTGAGAATTTATCTCAAGATCAAAAGGATTAAACTTGCTATGTACTGTGTGTGTGTGCGCGCGCATGTTCATGCCATTCTGTTTTTTTCTTCATGACCATTGTGAATGTCAGTTTACAATGATACTTCTAAAGGACCTCAAGATTCAGATAGTACATTTTGAATGAAAAGTTTAATTGCTAATGGCTTTAGCAGTGATCTTGAAGATTAATATTGTAAATAAAATATTAAAATTGCTTTTACTAATTTTTTGAGGAGGGATGAATGTAAATGGCCTTTTGGAAAGTGTATTATAGCTGTTTACCTACTAATTTATAGGGAAATCAAAGGAGTCAGTGGCTTTTGAAATGTTTCTTTCTCTAGGCACTGGTTATCTTCCATTTGCTCTCACTGCCCTTTTGGTTGTGAGCAGTGTTCAGCACTGGGGTGTGTGTGTGTGTGCGCACGTGTGTGTGTGTGGGGGGGGGGTATGTGGGTGTGTCATTGCTTTGGAATTACCCACTCTTTTAATACCTAAAATGGCTTAGGCACTTTTTCTGCCTGGACAAGTACTTTCAGTAATTCTTTACAACTCAACTCATATGAGGTTAGTATAGTCACTGACCCCATTTTGTAGATGAGAAAACTTCATTTTACAAAGAGTACTTTTCCAAGTTATAGAGATGGTGAAAGCAGTACAACCTGAATCAGATTCCTACCTTGAGTGTGTAATGGCCTGCTGGACCCAACATAAAAAAATAAAGTACAAAACACAAAAACACTGGGTGCCAGTGGCTCACTCCTGTAATCCTAGCTATTCATGAGACTGAGACCTGAGGATCCATGTTTGAAGCCAGCCTGGGCCAAACAGTCTCCGTGAGAGTCTGATCTCCAACCACTCAAAAACCAGAAGTAAAGCTGTGGCTCAAGTGGTAGAGCATTAGCTTTGAGCACAAAGAAGCTCAGGGACAGTGCCCACACCTTGAGTTCAAGCTCCACAACAGACCCCCTCCCCCCCCCAAAACAAAAAGAGCAAAAGGAAAAAAAACTAAGATACCTTACATATGATAGTTTTATTGGTTTTAAACAGCTCAAATATCTTTCCTGTAGTCATGTCTATAGTGTTTGTTTTTTATGTTCTTGATAGAAAAGAAATTCTTATTTTGGTATAATCAAATCTATCAGATTTTTTTTGGGGGGGAGGTCTTAAACTTGAGCTTACTGAAGAAGTCCTTTTTTTCAGGAAACAATATAGAAAACACTTGAAATAAAATGAAAACCTTGTGATAATATGGCTATATACTTGGTAGGGGAGGTGATCTGATTGTTAGAATTTTAAGTTTAGACTTGAATTATTTATACTTAGGGAATGGAAGCTAAGGCAATACCTAAAGGGAAGAGGTGTTGTTTTAAGATTTTTTTCAGATAAAATTGTGTATATCTGAAAGACAGTTGTACTAGAAAATGGACCAGGGTTTGAAGGACTTAGTAAGTCATTAAGGTATGTAGACTTCATCCTACAACAGCAGAGGAGAGCCTTGATGACTAAGAGAAGTTCACGTTGCCCATCAGCATATGAATTGTTAGTTTTCATTTTATTTTTCACCTGTTCTGATGATATTTATTTAATAGAGGACTTGAAGTCATTGGTATACCCACCTATTCCCTCATTTGGTGCTGTTAAACCAAATAATCCTAGATGAGACTATTTTGTCATTTTATTTGAAGTTTTTGATGGGTTTTCTCTTTTTTTTGTTTCTTCTTCTTTTGCTTACATTTATTACTGTTCAGTTTTCTTAAGCTGGTAAATTTTTTTTATAAAACTGCATACTTAAAAACATTGTGGTTATATTTTTGACTTAACAAACAGCATAATTTTATTGATCAATTTTCAGACCTAGTTGAGATAATCTGATATTTAACCTATTTTATATGAGCTCCTTTTGTGAAAACTTGAAATAACAGAAGGTTGTTTAGAGACATTGAGAACAGCTGAGATGGAGCCCTTACCTTTTAAGACTGACATCATGGAAAGAATTATGGCTTCCTTTAAATCATGCTTCCTATGCAAGTTGGATATGCCAGTTGGATATATGGATCCTATATGTATTCCTATGCCAGTTGGATATATAGATCTAAACTAGTGTGTTTCCATTCTCATGATCATTGCAGCACTCTCCTCAGTAGCCAACAAATGGACTCAACTAAGTGTCCTTCAACATGGGAAGATTAAAAAACACCTGTGGCATATATTCACAGGGAATCAATTCTCCCTTTAAAATTAAAGGAAATTCTGTGATTTGTGACAATCTGAATGAATCTAGAGGACTCTTAATAGTGAAATAACACTAACACAGAAAGACAGATAACATACAATCTACATAATGGAATGTTCATAATAAAACTCAAAGAAGTAGAAAGTGAGGGAGGAGGGCATTGGTGATGAAAAGGAATGAGGTTTCAGTTGGACAGAACTGGTGGACTATTGTGCAACAGTTAATAATAGTGTTTATTTCAAAACTTCTAAAAGTAGCTTTCAAATATCCTTACCTCATAGGAGTATGTGATAGTAAATTGGTCTTATTCCACAATATGTAAATATCAGAATATCATAACGCATACTGTAACTATATGTAATTATTAATTGCCTTTTTCAAAATTGAAAAAAAATTATTTGGTACCTCCTTATTTGTTATAAGTTATCTTTGTATTTCTTTAAAGTTAAAAAAAATAACCAAGATACCAGCATACATGCTTAGAATGCAAGTATTATTCATAAAAGGCTATTATGTACTATTTTTTTTACCTGTGGAATACTAACATAAGTAAATAGAAATTGGATGATTTTTCTACTTAAAATGTTTTATAGGTATTAACATAAATAGTGACTCTCCAGCTGGAAAAAAGCTGAACCCTCATTCTGAGAAAAGCAATGGTGAGTACAAACACAATCTGAAATGAATTCTACGGAACAATAGCTATATTTGATTTATAGTTCTTGTAGTCACATGATACTCTGCAGTTGAAATTCTTTACTTTTTTGAGAGAAATCTATAATAACTGAGAGCTTTTTTTTTTTTTTTTTTTCTTTTTTGCCAGCCCTAGGGCTTGAACTCAGGGCCTGGGCACTGTCCCTGAGCTTCTTTTGCTTAAGGCTAGAACTCTACCACTTAGACCACAGTGCCACTTCTGGCTTTTTCTGTTTATGTAGTACTGAGGAATTGAACCCAGGCCTTCATGCATCCTAGTTAGCACTCTACTACTAAGCTACATTCCAGCCGAGAGCTCACTTTTAAAAGAAGGTGTTAAAGCATACTTATCCAGCCATGTTTTAGAAATAGCAGTAGCATGTTTTTTCTTTAAAGTGTGAGTTAGTTTCTGGTTTTACAAAACATTCTTTTGAAAATTGGTTAATATGAGAAATAAGAAGTTGGCTTCCTTTTCATTTCCAAATGTCAGCCCTGCAGCCAGGAGTAACGTTTACTATTAACACCTTTCCATCTGTAGGAGAAGGGATAGGAAACTAGTAATGTATGGTGTGTAATAAATGTGTAAATGGAGTAATTCCATTTGGTAGAACATCATGGGGCAATGCTGGGTTGAGAAGCATGGGCAGAATTGTGTTTCATGTGCTCTCATTGACTTTATCCATGTTTTTATTATTTGCTTGCTTCCAGCTGCTTGTCAGACATTGCTGTCTCTTCCTGTGGATTTTAATTTAGAAAATATATTAGGTAAGTATTATATTCTTTAAACTTTTCATAACTTCAAGGTTTTCTTTTGTTCGCTTTTTGAAATGGGACTTTGTGGGAATGCTTTCTCTTAAGTAGGGAAACTGTCCTGAATCTTTTCTTTTTGTTTGTTTTGTTTTTGTCGGTTGTGAGGCTTGAACTCTGGGCCTGGGCACTGTCCCTTAGCTCTTCAGCTAAGGCTAACACTCTACCGCTTGAGTCACAGCACCACTTCCGGTTTTCTGGTGGTTTATTGGATAAGAGTCTCACGGACTTTCCTGCTGGGACTGGCTTTGAACTGCGATTCTCAGATCTCAGCCTCTTGAGTAACTAGGATTATAGGCTGAGCCACCAGCGCTCAGCTTGTCCTGAATCTTTTACTTGAACACAGCCTGAATTAGCCATGTTCAAGAAAAGTTCATAGGGTTCCTATTCATAAACTATAAGCATCTTAACTATAAGCATAACTATCAGCATATTAGTATAATTCTAATAATGAACTACTTATATAACAAATAATAGGAGTTTTTAACTTCACATACACAAGTAAATGTTGCCTTGTTTTTTGAAAAATAATTTCCAACTTGTGGTTGGAACATGCTTGTTAATAAAGAATTGGATAGCAGAGCTGAAGAATTGGGTAACACTCTTGAGGCTGAGACAGAAGGCTCATGAGTTCAAGGTCAGCCTGGGCTACATAATAATACCTTGGAACAAAAATCATTAGCAACAGGAACAACAGAAAAGTTGATTTCCAAAACGACTAGATTTCATTCTGCTATTGTTTAATACAGGTGACTACTTCAGAGCTGATGAAGGTGCTGATCAGTCTCCTGGAAACCTTAGTTCTTCATCTCTCAGAAGAAAGCTTTTTTTAGATGGCAACGGGAGCATCTCTGACTCCTTGCCTTCAGCTTCTCCCAGAAGTCCTCAGAGCAATGCTCAAGCATCACTTGAGGTGTTTTATGCAGTAGATTTATCTCCTGTGCAGTGTAGGAGCCCCATGCAGACACCTAGCTCGGTAAGAAGAATTCTAACAAGTGTTGGCTCTGTGTGTTCTGGGTGTGTGTGGCTTTAGATGCTTAGATTGCACTGACTAGGAATAGTTGTCTTTTGGAGATTATACATTGTGAATGTTAACCCAATTTATATATTGTCATTGATCACCAAAATGTTTTTATTCAGACTCTTCAACATTGCCTTTAGAGGTACATGAGGTGCCCAAGGTTTCCCAACATGAGTGTTAACCAAATTATGAAAAAGTTAATGTAACAACCGGAATGGCGTTAATGGAATAAATTATTTTAAAACTTTTCATAGACATGTGCTTGTGTGTAATGTAATGGTTTACTTAAACACAATGCATTCTGTTATGGCAACTGTGACACTATTTTAGAATTTTTGTACACTCTATCACTTGAGCCACATCTCCACTTCCAGTTTTCTGGTTTTTAATTGGAGATAAGAGTCTCATAGACTTTCCGGTCCTGGCTGGCTTTAAATCCTGATCCTCAGATCTCAGCCTCCTGAGTAGTTAGGATTACAGACGTGAGCCACCAGTGCCTGGCCTGTTTCAGAATGCCTTTTGGTAGTTTTTATATACAATTCCTAATTAATGAGTGTCTTTTGAAGACAAAAGAGCATGAAGTGTTAACTATGTGGAAGGATAACCATATAAATACATTCTGTTATTTATTTGCTTTTCTCATAGGGGCAGTTTTCTTCTAGCCCCATTCAGGGGAGTTCAAAGAGGTACAGTTTGGGAAGTATAACAAGTCCTTCGGCCATCTCTTCACCCACTTTTTCCCCAGTGACACTCCAAGTAGGAAAAACACCGCTCTCAGGTATGTCACATCAGAAAATATGCCAGGCACCAGTGGCTCACGCCTGTAATCTTAGCTACGCCATAGGCTGAGATCTGAGGATCACAGTTCAAAGCCAGCCCTGGGAGGAAAGTCCATGAGCCTCTTAACTTTAATAAACTATTCAAAAAAAGCTGTAAGTGGAATTGTAGCTCAAGTGACAGAGTGCTAGAGAAAAATCTTAGGGACTCAGGCCTTGAGTTCAAGTCCCAGAACCAGCATCAAAAATAAAAAGTAAAATAATAATTGTGAAAATGTTTATCCTTTCAGTATTAGTTATTAAAAAGGCATTTTTAACAGAATTTAAATGATGGATGTAGTCTCTCTTTTGGAAGCTTTTGTTTCTCTTTCAACAAAAGAAACAATTTACCTTCAAAGACTGGAGTTTTCAGTAAAATTCTATTCTACTGTAAAATAGTTGGTTTGATTATCAAGAGCTATATCAAACACTTCACAAAAGAAAGATGGTAATTTTAGAGACAGGTTTGTTTTTATATGTCTTCTAACCTATGAGATGTTGATATCTGATAATTAAATATTTCTACTTTGTAAAAAGAAAATAGATTTGGTTTAAATTGTTAAGGTAATTTAACATACAAAACATGAACATGGCTAAGGCACTGGTGGCCTCACGCCTATAATTCTAGCTACTCAAGAGGCTGAGATCTGAGGATCGGGGTTCAAAGCCAGCCCGGGCAGGAAAGTCCATGAGACTCTGATCTCCAATAAACCACCAAAAAACTGGAAGTGGAGCTATGGCTCAAGCTGTAGAGCACTAACCTTGAGCTGAAGAGCTGAGGGACAGCCAAAGTTCAAGCCCCATGACCAGCAACAACAACCAAAAAAAACATGTTTCTTGGAAAAAATATATCACTTGATCACTTCATAGCTTAGCTCAGTGGCTCACACCTATAATCCCAGCTGTTGGAAGGCAGATCAGGTGATTGTTGTTCTAGACCAGTCCAAGTAAAGAAGTTTTCCAGACTCCATCTCAACCAGTGGCTGAGTGTGGTGATGCACACCTGTTTTCTCAGCTATTGGGGAGTCACAATGGCTAACACAGTGGCATGTGCCTGTCACAACTAGTGACATGGGAAGCACAAACAGGATTACAGCTTAGGCTGGCCTAGATATAAAGGGGACCCTAGGTTGAAGATAATCATTTCAGAAAAGAGCTAGTACCTTCCTAGCAAGCTCAAGGCCTTGAGTTCAATTCCTGTTACCACCAAAAACACCATCAGTAACAACAGTAAATACCCCTAAAACCAAAAAAACTATTCATACTAAATAACATTGGGAAAATAAACTTTATTTTGTCACTTTATGTTTATTTGGTTATATATCTGAGAATACATAGTAGGTACATATACTGCTTTTTCATGAAGCTTTTTTTTTTCATAAATCATTTTTCTTTCACACCTTTCTTTTTCTCTTCTTCCTCCTTCCTCCTTCTCCTCTTCCTGTTTCTCTTACCCTTTCTCCTCTGTTTTTTTGTTTTTTGTTTTTTAGGGTTTTTTTTGTTTTTGTTTTTTCTTTTTCTTTCCTCTTTACTGTGCTAGAAATTGAACCCTAGCCTTATGCAGTCTGGGCAGGCACCAAGAGCTGTCCCAGCCCTTTCTCAAAGCATTTTCTTAAGAATATTTTTTTTACAGGTCATTCAAGTCCTTTGTTACTTCAAAACTGTGGTTTTGAATCACCTCATGCTTGTATATTTTGCTTTGCTTTGTTTTCTGGTATTGGAGCCCAAACATTCCTGCCAAACAAGCACTCTACAACTCAATCCCAATTATGTTTTGAACCACTGATAAGCATTTTAACTATGATATTTCATCACCAAACTAATGGTTATCCCTGAATACATAGTATGTTGTACATATTTCCTTAAATTTTCAGGATTGGAATTATTTGGTCAGAAGGGGTGGATAAAGCTAGACTGGTTTTACGGGTAAAAATTTCTTTTTGAAGAAATTATAAGGTTGTGATAAATTTTACCAATTGTACTACTACTTTGATATATTATAGAAAGCTGTCTTATTGCTTTAATGATTGTATCTTGGTTCATTAAGGATGTTGAATTCTTCGTGTTTGTTGGCCATTGTATTTTGGAGAACTTGTTAGTTCAGACCTGAATGTTATTAAGTGAATGGTCTCTCCTTGCTTTACTTTTCATATTTTTTCTTGTTATTGTGGTAGGATATTTTTCTTATTTATTACCATTCACTGTTGATGTGCATTTGCCAAGTTTTTTTTTTTTTTCTTTTTGCTTATGTGGTGCTGAGGAATCGAACCCAGGGCCTCAGGCATGCAAGGCAAGCGCTCTACCACTGAGCCACCTTCCCAGCCCTTGCCAAGTTTTTTAAACTTTTATTTTTATAAGCCAATGAAAAATAGAGAAAGTTTTAAGTTTTAAATCATTTTTTATCCTTTTGATTCTTATTAGGTGTTTTATTGATGCAAATATTATTTTCCAGTTTTTTGTTTGCCTTTTACTGTTTGTTGAAGTATTTTTGCTGGGGGGCAATAGAGGAGAGGGAAAGTGAGAGAAAAATGAGGGAGTTGGTAAACAAGAAATGGACTTACTACCTTATGTATGTAACTGTAATCCCTCTGTACATCACCTTGACAATAAAATTAAATTTTAAAAAAGAGGGGCTGGGAAGGTAGCTCAGAGGTAGAGTGCTTGCCTCACATGCATGAAGCCCTGGGTTTGATTCCTCAGCACCACATAAATAGAAAAGGCCAGAAGTGGTGCTGTGGCTCAAGTGGTAGAGTGCTAGCCTTGAGCTGAAGAGCTGAGGGACAGCACCCAGGCCCAGAGTTCAAGTGCCATGACCAACAATAAATAAATAAATAAATAAGTAAATACAATTTTTGCATAAAATCACTTATGCCTTTAATTTACCAAGACAGCTGTCAAGTCATAGCTTTCTGCTGATTTTTTAGGGATCTTCTTGATATAAGAAGAATTTTAGTACTACAACAGTATGCTTATCACAAAATAATTTTCAGGGAGTAAAATATTTTAGTTAAAATAGGAAATGAGCCAGAAAAGAAGTATTTTTGCACTTCATTTGCTTGAATGTTTGCTTAACACCACAATTCTACTTTAGTAAATACAAATGCTAACAGATGTCCATTTTTATGGTTTGTTTTTTTAATGATTTTATTTCTCCCTCCAATCTTTTAGAACAAAGGAAGTTTCCTTTTCACTCTCCTGACGTTTCATCTGGAAGAAATTCTAGTGGAATCACTAACCCGTGTATCAGGAGTCCCTTTATAGATGGCTGCTCACCAATTAAAAATTGTTCTCCTGTGAGACTTGAGATGTGTGGAAGTACTCAGCATCAGAGCTCACTCATTCACTTGCCCTTCCATCTGGAGACTCACAGCAAAGAGGAAGTGGAAGAAGATAAAGAGAACATCCCTTCCATCATCTCATCACCAGTCACAGAGACCACGAGAGGGTGGCTGTGGTCATTGAAGAGTGACACCTCTTCACGAAGCCCCCCTGCACTTGTCACTGCCATGTCCATGACGCAGAGCCAGTCCAGTGCTTCTGAGAGGGAACTGGCACTGTTGGAGGACATTGAGAGTGTGAGGGAGAGCGACACCGTAGACATGGCTGATCCCGATCCCATAGAGACAGTGGATGAGAGCACTTGGATCAGGGAGCCGGTTGATAATGGGAATTCACCTGTGACTGATTTCATGAGTGGAATTGCTTTCAGTATGGAAAGCTCTCACATGTGTATGTCACCTCTTGCAGAGAGCAGTGTGCTTCCTTGTGAAGGCAGTAATACTCAGGTAAGGTATCGGATCATCTTGTAGATCTTTACTCCCTTGCTAGTGTGAGAAGGATCACAGGTTCCATGTGGGGAAATTGTAGTATTTCATATTTCAAGAAATACCAATACCAAGTGATACCAGGATGTTGAGTTTCATTTAATTAGGAGAAAATGGTACAAGGCTGGAAGACCCTATCTGAAAAATACACCTGAAGCACACAAGAACTAGAGGTGTGGCTCAAGTAGTAGAATGCTTACTGAGCATATTCAAGGTTCTGATTTCAAACCCCAGTATTGCAAAAATAAAAAAATAAAAGAAGAGAATAAAAGCAATTACCATCCTAGAATATCAACCTGTCATCATCCTGGGAATTCCTTTAACCTGCCCTGTGTTCTGTACTCTCCTGTTTTCTGTATTGTGTTCTTCTCTAGCCTAGTTTCTCATAGCAAGACATTTTCCAGTAGCTTTCTAAGGAAGAGTACCATTTTTAAACATTACATGTCCGATGCTGTGATTATTCCTTCACATTTGAGTTGAGAAATAGTTATCCTTAAGAATTGAAATGCATTGTTTTCATTGAATTTGATCACTGCTGGGGAGGGATCTGAAGATCCTAAAGCCTAATCTGCAATAACCACTTCCTGTCCCATGCTTCTACTGCTACATAGGACATTTCCTTTGTACATGATGGTTGTGAAATTTCACTGATATTCTTGGAAGTGGGCAGTGCAGGCACTGTGCTGCCCACTCAGGATGTCCTCATCATCTATTGTGATTTATTTTTAATATTTCTATTTATTTACTTATTTTTATGCCAGTACTAGGGTTTGAACTCAGGACTCACACACAGTTTTGCTTGGACAGTTCATACTGTATCACTTGAGCCATTCCTTCAATACCACCCAATGGTCTATAAACATGGACTCTTTTTACTTTCTGGATTTTCTCCCCTCTCCCTTAGTACTGTGACTTAACTCAGGACCTCACTCTTGCTTGGCATTTTCACTCAAGGCTGGTGCTCTGCCACTTGAGCAACATCTCTACTTCTGACTTTTTGCTGGTTAATTGGAGTTGAGTTTTTTGGATTTGCCTGCCTTCTGAGACTGGCTCTGAGCCATATTTTTCAGATCTCAGCTTCCTGAATAGGTAGGTCATAGGTATGTACCATTGGTGCCCAATACTTCCTAGATCTTTAAAAAAAATTAGTAAAGCTTAGATTTCTCCTCTATTATTTTCAGTATACTCTTTTTCATCTACTTTTAAAAGATCTTTTAAAAAATCTCCTGTTTGCTAAGTATTTTTGCTTTTGGTATCTATAATATGACTAGCAAGGCATTACATGATCTGGCATTTGCCATACTATTCACCTTAATACTGTTTCCCTTTATTTTTCTTGTTTCAGACCCACTGGCTTTTCAGAATTATGATTAACCATGTTCCTACTGTGAGGAATTTCTTTCAATCCTACTCTGCCTAATAACTGGTTTGGGTTTTTGTTTTAGGTCACAAGTCATTGCTCACAACCTCATAGCTTTTCCTGATCACTGACCAGGCCAGACCTCATTTATGCTTTTATGTACAAGTTTACATTCCTCCTAGCATTGACCCAACTATATTGTTTTAACTTTATATTACCGTTTCAGGACTGAGGATTCAACTCAGGCCCAACACATGCAGAGCAAATGCTCTACTGAGCTGCATGCCTACCCCTAATCATGTATATTTTCATCCAAAATATTTATGCAAAAAATAAACTCAGCACACAGTATATATTTATGTAGTGAAAACAGTAAGTACATAGTAAGCTCAACCAAAGGGACTTTGTACAGTGAGAACAACAGATCTTTGAGGAAATATTAAGGGGGTCTAAGAAAAGCAAACAGAACTCTCAAGAGAAACAAACAGCTGAAGAGGGTACCTAGGAAAATAGTGTAATAGAGCATCTTAAACAAGAATGAATGATTTGTATTGCCAAAATAAGACCAAGGAATATATGCCTTGAACAGTGGCTCTTGGAATAAGAAGAGGATTTAGTAATTGGACAGTCTCAAGATGGGAAGGTGAAAGTGAATAGAAGGGAAATTAGAGGTGAGACAGTGAAACCAGGTGTATAAGTAACTCTTGGAAGAATCTTATTTGTGAAGGGAAAGAAATCATAGCTAGAAAACATCAAGAGTCCTAAGATTGCTTTGTAGTTTGCATTTTCACCTTGTTTTTACGTTAGATGGGAAAAGCAGCATATTTTAATGTAAAACAAGAAGATACTTTTAAAAGTAGGAATCAGGCAGGATTAGTAGCGGCAGTAGTAGAGGGCAGGTGGCTAGACAGGAGCAACAGGGGTTACCAGTACTTGTAGTTTTGAGGGGCGACATAGAATATGGGCTTGGAAAAGTCAAAGGCAGATTTTAATTAGTTCCCTGCTGAGTTCACTTTAGAAATTTCAGAAAATGACAACATTTTTTCAACTTACTAGCTATTTAAAGTGAGGCTAACAATAAGATCCTAATGATAGGGTAATATGAATAAACGATGAATGCTGCTGGAACAGGCTGGTTTCAGTAGGTAATAGTGGGAGGCAAGGTCCTGTGAGTGGGGAACAGGTTTGAGGGACTGAGCATGATGACAGAAGGGCTGAACTGCTGAGGCCAGAGTTCAAGGAATGGCATTGCAAGGTCCCACTGGAGACAACTGTGAGCCAGTGAAGGTTTTACAAAGACAATAACGTCAGACTTTGGAGGTAGAAAAAAAAAAGACTTAGTAGCAGAGTATGTGTAAAATGACTTAGGACACAACACTTTAAGTAGCTGTAAGAATAGGAATTACGTGTTTGAATTCGTTTTTTTCATTTCCAGGCTGTGGAGCCTTAGGCTGGGATTTATATGACAGCGAGTAGATCATGGTTAATATTTGTTAGTATGTCATTCTTCTTGGCTATAAAATGATACTGATGGCTGCCTTGATGCCAGTGGGTAGAACAAACCAAGATGATTTGTCTTCTCTGGATGGTTCCTGGTAGATATTGACATGGGTAGTGGCCTAGATGAGAGACAGGAAGGTCAGCTACCATCTGAATGGGGCACCTATTGATCTTCCTTTTTGTATGGAGTCTCAGATTCCCTGTGCCTAAAATATTGAGTTATAAGACAGTTATTTGACAGTGATGAATTTACGAAAGAAGCTTAATTGGCAGATAATCTGGAAGCAAGCTGCATTTACATTTTTTATCAAATTTCTATCGAATAGTAGAGCAAGGTGTTTCCCTTGAGATATAATGTTAGATTCTGTTTTACATGTCACAAGAATTCTGTTCTAATGAAACATGACTTCCAGTAGTAGGTAAATATGCATCCAAACTTGAAAACTAGGAACATTTTTCAAAGGATGAGTGCTAAGCTATTAGGATACACTTTCCAGGTTATTCTAAATGAAGAAAGCAAAAATTTAATTTTCCTTCTCCTACTTGCAAGGAAGGATTAAGTGCTAGGTAAACCCTTTGTGTGTGATTTGCTTGGTGCTCTGCATTATGCAAGCACATGAAGTGTTGTCTGGTGAAAATAGAACAAACAAAATAGAAAACTAACCTTCCTGAGGCTTAACTTCCTCATCTGTAAAGTGATAGGGATGTTGAAAAGAGAAAATAAAAATACCCTGCTATAGAATGCCATATAGAACCTAGAATTTCCATTCAGTAAATGTTTATCACACATAATAGCCACTCCCTTATCTACAATTTTGCTTTTCAGGATTTTGGTTACCCAAGGTCCAGAAATATTAAATGAAAAGTTCAGAAAGTTAACAGTTCATGTTTTCAAGTGAATGGCATTCTGAATAGCATAAAATGTTGCAGTGTCTCACCAGGCTGTCCTGGACACTCTGTATCCCTCTGACTAGCCTGTCTATACTGTATAAGCTACTCACTCAGTCATCCCTTGGTTTTCAGATTGACTGTCATGATACTCCAGGTATCCCTTATTTTATTATGTCCCCAATATGCAAGAGTAATGATGTTTGAAATTTAAAGCCATTACTTACTTGAAGTGAACAGGTAACACACGCTTGTAATTCTGGCCTTCAGAAAGCTGAGGCAGGAGGAGGATCACAAGTTCAAAGCCAACCTAGTCAAGATTAAATCTCAAGTTTACAATGCAGTGGTATGGAGGAAATAGAAATGTGTTAATGGCTTACAAGTATTTACTTCTATAGGCAAATTTGGGCTACAATACTGTTATGCCCTGCCTCAAAGAAAAAGTTATATAATTTTTCTATTACTGTTATTGCTAATCTCATATCACATGTAAATGTGGGAAAAAAACAGAATACATAGGGTTTGGTACCATCTACCATTTCAGGAATTCACTGGAGTCCTTGAATGCATCTCTCCCTAGTAAGAGGGGAATACTGTATGTACAAACTGCAGCTCTCTTTTGAGTTGGAACAGTATTATGTCTTAGAATGAAAAAGATTGCAGGACATCCAATTGTAGGACCATTGGGTATGAGAATTAAGTAGCCCACTTTTTTAATGTATATTGTTTTTGAATACTCTGAAAGGTAGCTTGCCATTCAGAGACAAACTTGGGAAATAAGTTGGAAAGTGAAGGTGATTGTGATTCTCATTTTCCATTACTGGGTATTATCTTCAAGGCCTGTTTTCTGGCTTGTTCACTATTGCTAAAGGAAACTCATCAGAAGGAATTGTGAAGTTGCATTGACAATAGTTCTGTATAGAAAGATCTCTCAGGTTTATCAAATTTCAGTCAGCATTACCAACCCTAAATATTCTCTTGTATTGTTCAGATGTTGTGAACAATAGTAGTGACTCACTTAAAATACCTATTTTTAATGTAAATTAGGAAACAATTGTTTGCAGTGTTATCTTTAGGCATTTTTGTTTTTGTTTTCTGTCCTCTTTCTTGCCAGATGGATAGTGGATATAATACGCAGACGTGTGGAAGCAATATTATGGACACAGTCGGGGCAGAAAGTTACTGCAAAGAAAGCGATGCACAAACCTGTGAAGTGGAAATTAAGCCTCAAGTTTGTAATTCAAAGGTATGGAGCAAATAGAAATATTTACTAAATGTGTTTCCCTCTCTTCTGTGTAGTCTGGTTAATTATAGTTATGCCTCATCCCATCTTGCTTAGTCATCTGTAACACAAGATTTTCTTTTGCTATTTTTTTGGTTGGTCATGGAGCTTGAACTCTGGGCCTGGGCACTTTCCCTGCACTTTTCAGCTCAAGGCGAGTGCTCTACCCCTTGAGCCACAGCTCCACTTCCAGTTTTCTGTGGTTGATTGGAGATAAGAGTCTCATGGACTTTCCTGCCTGGGCTGGCTTTGAACTGTGATCCTCAGATCTCAACCTCCTGAGTAACTAGGATTACAGGCGTGAGCCACCGGCGCCTGGCTAGAAGATGGTTTTTAAATACAAACATTGCAACTCTTCATGCTCTCTCTCTACACACACACACACACACACACACACACACACACACACACACACACACACACACACACACACACACACACACACACACACACACACACGATCCTTATAATTGTGGGGAAATAGACAAAATTTTTTTCCATCTTTTGAATGTTGCACAGCCTAGTATAAAGAATTTTGGTTAGAAAACAGTAGAATTTATACATCAGACTAAAAAGATCTAAAGGATTTCTTAAAACTCAATAGCCTTTAAAGAATTTGGATTTTTCTGGTAGTGTTTTAGAAAAAACTTAAATATCTGTACAAAGGTGGGATATACTTTTGACTCAGATTTTTGCTCATCCTTGGTAAGATGTTTATGACTATTCATATTTGAAATGATCAATTTTAGGCATGAGACAGGATAGGCTTCAATTTGATGTGCCAGTTTATTAGGTATTATAAACATCAAATATATAACATATTTCTCCAAATGGACTTTAACAGACCAAACTTTTCTTCTTTATTTTGCCTTCGTTTTATGTGATGTCCAAACAAGTCTCTTCTAAGATTAACTTCAACCAGTTGATCATGATTTAACATCCCATATTTTAGAGGGAAGATTGTGGTTATCCATCTAAATGTAAAGAGGCATTTAGGTACAAGAATTCCTTCTGAAATAGAATGTGAATTTTAAAAATATTTTTACTATCCTTTTAGCTAAGGAAATCTTCATTCAAGTTTGTTTTTGTTTTTGGTTGATCATGGGGCCTGAACTCTGGGGCCTGGGTGCTGTTCCTCAGCTCTTCAGCTCAAGGCTAGCGCTCTACCACTTGAACCAAAGTGCCACTTCCAGCTTTTTCTTCTTATGTGGTGCTGAGAAATCGAACCCAGGGCCTCATGCATGCAAAGCAAGCGCTCTACCACTGAGCCACCTTCCCAGCCCTTCAGGTTTTTTGTTGTTGTTGTAGGTCGTGGTGCTTGAACTCTGGGCCTGGGCATTGTCCCTGAGCTTTTCAGCTCACGGCTAGTAGTGCTCTACCACTTGAGTCACAGTGCCACTTGTGATTTTCTGGTGGTTTCTTGATTAGTGTCTCACTTTCCTGCCCAGGTTGGCTTTTGATTTCAGCCTCCTGAGTAGCTAGGATTACAGGCGTAAGCCACCAGTGCCTGGCTTATGTTTCAAGTTTTAAGGAACAGTTCATGTAAGTTGGATCCTTTACTGATGGGTCCTGCTGGAACTGAAAATGTGGTCTTTTGTTTTCTTGACAGCCAGGCCACACAGCACAAAGGTGCTGGATGAAAACGGCAAGTCCATCTCAGTACAGCAGTCCCTAGATGTCTCATCAGGACAAGAGGCTACCGCTCAACTGCTTCTCTCATGTTTTCATGCATAAGATCAAGAATGCGATTGATGGTGACTGAGGGGAAAAAGCTGCTTTAAGAAACATACTTCATTTTTCTCTCCCTCCTTAATGTGAAAAATCAAGATCTCAATTTAGTGACACAGGAACAGAAAACCTCCAAGTTGTTGAAATGCAAATTTATTTTTAATCAATAAATATTTTATACTTAACCTTGATTGATTTGTTTAGCCAAAAAAAAAAAAAAAAAGTGACATTAGCTGGTAACTGGTTCCTGTCCTACAGGACCAGTGAACTACTTAGCCCTATTGCTGTCAAGCAATGAATTTAGCAGTAGTTCCAAGAAGAAAAATATATATAGTTCCAAGAAAAATTGTAAGTGACGGCACTATGTATTTTACATTAAAAACTTTTGAACACAGATGAATTAGTAACAACCTATGTGAAGGAAATCCTAAAATATAAAACTAAGGTAGGAAATTGTGTGGGCCATTTCCTATGTGGGAAACTTTAGACTCAGGTCTGGTTAATATTTTTGAAAACTACATAAATATTAGAAAGGTAATCCTAACAGGAACCAAATGCTCTGGGATAAACATGGGATGCCAGAACAAAAAGTACCACCATTCCTAGAGCAGGAGCATCCTCTGTAGTCCAGACTTGAGAGGAATAGAATTCAGGAGAATCAGAGAACCACTGGAACTGGAGGACAATGGAATTCTTGTTGGGCTTAGAATTATGAAGTAACAATTGTAACAACTAGGCAAATACATAATATGCAAATTATTTTTTCTGAAGTAACATATAATAGCAATAGATGGGTTTATAACATATGTTTGAAAATACCTGTGAAGAATGTATTTTGGAATTTAGTGATTGTCTTTTAAGAAAAATTTGTTAAAAAGAAAATACAGAAGTAGCCCTAAGAAATAAAATGTATTACCATGTCATTTTCTTGTAGTCTGCTATTCCATATCTGGTAAGCTTATTACGAACCTATAAACATAAAGGTACATTCCCTTCCTAATATAAAAGCTATTAGCCATTTCTTCTACTGTTAAAGATGCTGAATTCAGTAGATGGATATTTAATCTTTATTTTTTATTTATATATATTTTTTTATTTTTTTGGTTGGTCATGGGGCTTGAACTCTGGTTTGGGCACTGTTTCTGCACTCTTCAGCTCAAGGCAAGTGCTCTACTGCTTGAGCCACAGCACCACTTCCGGTTTTCTGGTGTTTAAATGGAAATGTGTCTCTCAGACTTTCCTGCCCAGGCTGGCTTTGAAACCGTGATCCTCAGATCTCAGACTCCTCAGTAGCTAGGATTATAGGCGTGAGCCACCAGCGCTGGCTGGGTTTTTAATCTTTACTATCTTTGTCCTAAGTGTAGGAGCATCCCTGGTTACCGTGTTTGTTTTAACAGCACTAAGTCAATAAACAAAACTCCAGGCAACAGTAGTTGACACCTTTAATCTTTGCTATTTGAGCAATCAGGAGGATCATGGTTTGAGGCCAGCCTGGGAAGTTTACCAGGCCAGTCACAGGGCATAGTGATGTATCCCATCATCCCAGCTATGTAGGAGGCTGACATTAGGAGGAACGCATTTCCAGGCTAGCATGGACACTCCCCTTCAAGAAAATTTATGGTGACATACCGAGCTGTTACCCAACTGTTGTGGGCAAAAAAGAAAATCTCAGCTTAAAAATAACCAGCTTAAAAAAAAAACGAAAACTTGCCAGGTACCAGGAGGCTTACATCTGAGGATTCTGGTTTGGGGCCAACCAAGACAGAAAAATCACAACTCTTACCTCTACAATTAACCACTAAAAACCAGAAGTGGAGCTGTGGCTCAAAGTGGAGCTATCCTTGATGAAAAGAGGCTAGGTATACCGCCCAGGCTCTGAGTTCAAGCCCCACAACCAAATGAAGAGAAGATTGGAGGTGTTTCTCAAGAAGTACAGCACCAGCCTAGCAAGTACAAAGCTTTGAATTGAAAAAATTAAAACCCAGATTGAAATCCCGTCTGTCACTATTTGACCCAGGCCATACATCTCTTTTTTTTCATGATAAATGAGAACAGTCTTTAGGCTTTTTAACTGCAGTACAGCCCTGCCTCAGTGTTCATGGGTTAATGGTTCCAGGACATTCCAGGGATTCGAAAATTCACAAATGCTCCCATATGGAATATAAACATACGTGAAACACTTTTCTTGATTTACAGTAAATGCCATAAAAACATGCCAAAAAAATGTCAAAAAAATGCAGCATTATTTACTATAGCTAAGATATGGAACCAACCCAGATACCCCTCAGTAGATGAACGGATCAAGAAAATGTAGTATATACACACAATGGAATTCTATGCCTCCATCAGAAAGAATAACATTGCCCCATTTGTTAGGAAATGGAAAGGCTTGGAAAAAATTATATTAAGTGAAGTAAGCCAGGCGCAAAGAAACATAGGTCCCATGGTTTCCCTTATTTGAAATATCTAGTATATGTCTGAATCAAGCAGAAAAGGTCAGATAAGGTGATGTTAGGGAAATGAACCCTAAGATATGTATTCAAATGTTTTTTTTTTCTCATGCGATTATTTCTAACACATTTATAAGATTATTTCTTTGTTGTTTTGTATGTCCCTCCCCCACAGTATAACCCCTGCTTTCACTGTATTTGATGTTGGTATAATTTGTGGAGGGGAAGGGGAAAAACAAATCGTTTAAATATGGATACAGGTGGACCCATTGCAACAATGAGATGTGCAAGTCGTTATGTCAAAAATGAACTTTACAACTTTGGTGGGGGAAGGGGCGCGAGGGGAGGATGGGAAGGGGAAACAAAGGAGGAGGCTACATTGCTTGATAAGAAATGTACTCATCTTGCCCATGTAATTGTAACCCCTCTGTACAGTATTTTCACAATTAAAAAAAAACCACCCATTACACTGTTGTTTGAGAATAGCAAAAAAAAAGTCTAGAAATGTTCAGTACAGAGATGATTTTTTTTCCCTCTACATAATTTCAGTGTGTCAATATAGAGCCCAGATATGGAGATACAAAGTGCAATAATGCATTTAGGAAGTAAAGAACCTACCAAAACAGCCTGCAGGGGATATAACAAGGCTTCAGATCATTCTGACCCAGAAGTGAATAAAGCTTCCTCATAACCAAGGTGCAACAATACAAACTGGAAATGCTAACAGACAGTACAGGCCTTACTTTACCAAAAAGGTGTTTCCCTCTACTCCAGATAAACTATGGTCTGTGGGCAAATCATTTTTCAGAAGTTGCTGGGGAAAATTGCATACTTTGTGATATAAAAACTCTGAGACTTAAGTCTCCATATCTATGGAACACAACCATGCTATACACATACTGTCCATGGTGGTTTATGTACTATAATGAAGTAGCTGAGTGCTACAGCTGAAGTTACAGGGAGGAAATCAAAAATGTTCTAAGAAAGGTAGTCACTCCAGCACTAGTGTCACTCACTCATGTTGAACCAATACTACTCAAGGCTGTCTTCCTTCATCTGAAATAAGTCTGCATTAATATACGGATGTTTTCCTCAGGAACTGGAAAAATTTCACCTATTGAATGCTTGCGTGACTCCAAATATTGGAATCACACTATCTGCATACTCTTCAAAGGCTAAAATACTCAACTGAAATATAACAGAATAAACAAAGGCAAATATTTTAATGTCACCTTTTTTGAAAAAAAAAATCAATGTGATCATTAATTTATAGTTAGCAATGAAAGTAGTCAATCTGGCACACCAAAAAAGACAATTCTTAATATGCCTTTTTCTATATAATCTGACAGAACTGCTATTTAAGTCGTAAATAATAGGATGGAGAAATTTGAAGTACAATTTTTAATTCTTTCTCGGCTCTAAAGCCTTATTTGGGGAAGCCACTATAAGGTCAAGGTCAAAGACTTATATTTTTACCTGTTATCAACTATTTTTCCCAATCAGGCCAAAATATCCTTTTTTTTTTTTTTAATTTTTATCAAGTTCACATTTGTTTATGGGTCACTAATGAAATGTGAGAAACTTTTTAGTCCAGTAGGGGGACATTTAAGTAAATGACAATGGCATGGGAGATATAACACAGCTAAAGACTTAGAAAAGACTTCTTTGCTTCTAAAGATGTTCTAAGGGGTTTTGTTTTCCTACTAATAAAGTTCTTATGAAAAATTAGACTGCTCTTCAATGAGCAGGTGAGTCTTCCATTTAAATGATCTTTATATATCCCTGAAGGTGCTATCCTGTCACCATTTAAGTGATGGATATTCAATTGAATTTTTCTGCATAAATAGTTCTGTTCAATCTAGAGACAAAGTAGTATGATAAAAGAGAGTCAACAATTCAATAAATATGCAAATTTCTAAAATTATTAAAATGTACCTAAAAGTAACACAAGCCATCACACACAAGCTTAGAAGTATTCTCTTTTATAATAGAATTTTTTTTTCATTGAATGTAGCTACTTTTCAAGCTTCCTCTTCTTTTTTCCTGGTTCATTAAGGTCATTTGAAGTATCTGCAGGAACACTTATTCCTGGTATCTAAAGTAATGCAAATAAGAAAAATAAGGTGATTAAACAAAATAAGAAATCTCACCTCATATCTTCTTCCATAATGCTTTCAATGTAAACAGATACAGAAGTAGAAGAGGGTAAAGGTAGTTACACACAAAGTACACTTACTTTCCACACAAAATAATGGTGATCAGGAAGCGTGAATGTTAGGCCTAGTCTCGGTGAGAAGCTTGTCCGTTGGACAGTGTTTTGTTTCTGTGCCAGTTCTGAGGTTTGAACTCAGGGCCTGGGCACTGTCCCTGAGTAATTTTGCTTATGCTAATATCCTATTCCTGAGCCACAGCTCCACTTCTGGCTCTGTGGTGGTTAAATGGAGATAAAAGTCTCATTTCTACCCAGGATAGCTTTGAACCACGATCCTCAGATCTCAGCTTACTGAGTAACTAGGAATAGGCATGAATCATGGGGCACCCACTGCACTTGGAATTTAAAAATATAGATTGCAAAACTCAGTGTAAAGGTTGAGGAAGGCTAAACTAATGTTTTGATTTTTAAGACCAAGGACCTAAGAAGAATCTCATATGTCTAGTCACCTCAGGAAACCAGTGAGAAATGACTTACTATGAAAATATTTGGGCTATGCACTATTCATAGGATTCTAACATTAAGTAGATATAGCATAACTGAATCTCTTTCACAAAATGTGCACTATTCTATAACACTAGAGAAATGAATAAGCTTGATCTCACCTGTGGTTCTACTAGGGCCATTCGGATTTTCTGATGCTGAAGATTGGATGAATCTAACATGATTTTCACTTTAACTTTATCAAACACATGAAACATGGTGCCTTCTATTTTAAGTGAAGGTGTCTAGAAAAAAAAATGTATCATACTTAATTGCGTCTTCCATTTGAAACGGTTTATAATTCTTTGTAGTATATCATAACTTAAGTTTAAATTCAAGGATTACTATATCAAAATTTAATAAGTGCAAAATTAACGTACATCTAGGTATTCCACAAAATAAAAATTTTTACTGTTAGTCTCACATAAATATGAGCTCTTTATGTGCATACATCATCCTTTCATTATGGCAGACCCAAAATACATATATTCCCATCAGGATATTGACTGAATAGAGGACAAATACTTGGGCATAGAAGAAACAGTTTTCTTCTTTCACAGACATAATTCTACTAAGTTTTGAGATATGAAGTATATTAGGTAAGAGGTTCAAGTAAACTAAAAACAAAAAAGACCCCTGAGCTATGAGCAGCCAAAATTATTTGGCCCAGATCTGTTTATGTACGATAAAATCTTACATGCTGTAAGAGAAACTAATCAAGTATACCATTTATATGTAGGAAGATAGAATTAAGTGAAAAATCTTGTGAGTAAAACCACAGTTTAGTTGGCATGATTAAATGTGGACTTTCTGAAATATATTTAGAGATTTACAATAAATTCCATAGGGTACAGAAATTATTAACATTTTACAGACACCATTTGTGACCTGGCAAAGAATTAGTGCTTCCCTCCCTAAGAAACAAAACAGAAATACTGTACCTCATCGTCATAAACAAGCTGTGGCTTTGGTTTGTCTTTTTCTTCAAAAAAAACTGTACCTTCTAAGCCATACTTCGGAATTAACACCACAATAGCATTCTTTCTTACAAATAGAACATAGGCTTCTTCACTTACTATTCCTTTGCTTTTGAAAAATAACTGCAAAATAACATACAATCATATAACCATTTGAAATTTAAAAAGAAAACAAAAAGTCTCCTGAGATCACATAGAAGGCTACCTGGGTGTGAAAGGCTACAGATGCACGTTGAGCATACTGAGCCATTTTGTGCCGGAAATTGAGATTTTTACATATATCTGCAAGCTTGTGTTTGTCTGTCAACTCAGGGTAAGTACAGTCTGCTCCAATAGCTACAGCCAACAGCCGATGAACAATTATATCTGCATATCTAGGTAGAGAAAGGAGAAATTAGAACCATGGCACATCAGTATTAAAGCATCTTTTTAAAATTTATAATAAACTCTTTTATCTCACTTAATTTCATAGGAAAAATACCTTCTAATGGGCGAAGTGAAATGTGTGTATATTGGTGATGCTAAGCCATAGTGATGAAAGTCATTGTCCATTCCAGAACAGAAGTACACAGCTTGCATCATACAGCGAGTGGCTAAAATTCTCAACAGCGTGTTTAGATAGGGGAAAACAGGAGATTCAGCCTTGTCCAAAGAGTCAGCCAAAGCCTTGGCTGTATCCGTTTTAATTTCCAAATTCTGTGAAAAAACCAGAGGGGAAAAGCACATCACACATTTCTAAATCAGTTTTATCATGTCTTCTAAACACAACTAAACAGACTAGACAAACATAGTGAGGTTATTTTCCCCCCTTTAAACACATAATCTGGACTAATACCTTTCATTCTTTGCTAAGAAGACTAAAAACAACTTTAAAAACAAGTAATGATTGTTTTATATAACATCAAACTTTAACACTTCCTGAATACATTTAAATGTACCAAGTATCAAGACTGTGAAGAGGCTCCAAGGAGGGTAGTGGTAGCAGTAGTACTAAGTCTATGCTTGCTAATTACTTTCAGGGAAAAGAAAATAAGTAGATGCCTGCATTTTTCAGGCATGCCTGCATTTTTTCTGCAGAGATTTTCATTCAAAGTTGAAGGCCAGAAACTAGACACTGAAGTTCAGTAAGAACAATGTTCTGATGCCTCTAATTTAGCTTCTTCTTGCTATCTTAGAGACATATATCAAAAATATTTAACACTTCCCTTACTCTGCTCAAGTATTAGAAAAATTAAGACAATGCAAGAAAATCCAGTAACTTGAATGATAATACTTGGAGCAGAGAAGCTGATTCAGTGCTGATGGACTATGAAGATCTAAAACTAATACCACACTATTAGAAAAATATCCTCATCCAATGTTGCGCCTTCCCTAGTTGTTTTCTAGACATGGAAGATGGGACTACAGTATGATCCAAGGAAAACCAATGTAAAAATTAATGTAAAATGTACACATTAAAAAATATATAGAAAAATGCTGGGCACTGGTGGCTCACACTGTAATTAATCTAGCTACTCAGGAGGCTGAGATCTGAGGATCACGGTTCAAAGCCAGTCCAGGCAAGAAAGTCTGAAAGACTCTTATCTCCAGTAAACCATTCAGAAAACTGGAAGTGATGCTGTGGCTCAAGTGGTAGAGAACTCACCTTGAACTGAAGAGCTGAGGGACAGCACCCAGGCTCAGAGTTCAAGCCCCACAACTGACAAATACATATATTAAAAGTATATAAATATATATAAATATTAAAAGTACACCTAAAAATCTATTAGTCTGAGGTAAAGGTATACAGCACTAAAAAAGATTTTTCCTCTTTTCATGTATATCATAAATCACTTTTTTTTTTGGGTCCGGTCGTGGGGCCTGAACTCTGGGCCTGGGGCTGTCCCTCAGCTCTTCAGCTCAAGGCTAGCGCTCTACCACTTGAGCCACAGCGCCACTTCCAGCTTTTTTCTTTTTGCTTATATGGTGCTGAGGAATCAAACCCAGGGCCTCAGGCATGCAAAGCAAGCACTCTACCACTGAGCCACCTTCCCAGCCCCCATAAATCACTTCTTATTTTAGGGTCGTGACATAAAAAGGACTGATCCTAAGTTGATATAAAAGAGAAAAATTTTTTGTAAATCTCTAAAGTTGAGAAGTTCACAGAAGCTAAATAAAGGATCGATATAGAAGAGTTTTATGTTCAGGATACTAATTTGTAGTATAGCTCACACAAGACAAGCTTAGATAATAAGTTTAGACAAGAACATCTGCCTTTATCACAGGTGCTTCTCAAAGACCTAAAAGGATTTTATTAAGCAGATGCCAGTAAGACTATAAGAAAACATGACTGTGACTAAAATAGATGACTTTTGAATGTACTGTATTTATAAACTGACATGTTGAATTGAAGCCACTTTGTACAACTACTGAAAGGTAATACAAAATTAAAAGAAACAACTACAGGCAGGTTTTTTGGTTTTTCTAAGTGCCAGTCCTAGGGCTTAAACTCAGGGCCTGGGTACTGTCCCTGAGCTTTCTTGATCAAGGCCAATGCTCTACCAGTAAAGCCAGAGCTCTTCCTCTAGCTTGTTGGTAATTATTTGAGATAAGAGTCTCAAAAATTGGAACCATGGTCCTCAGATCTCAGCCTGAGTAGCTAGGATTACAGGTGTGAACCACCATTACTGGTTGTATTTTCATAATAAGTAACAAAACATTTTTTTGACAGATGTGAAACAAATTCTACACTGCAGTGGGTAGGTCCTAACACAAATATACACAATTTTCAAACAACAGAACCTTACCTTAGACTTAGCTGCTTTAACAAGAATTTCATAATTTGATGGAGGTGGAGCAGGATGTTTGCGAAGGAGAGCATGTTCAGAAAATTCTTCATGGATTTTTTTGGCAACAGAAATGTTAGCAAGTAACATAAATTCTTCCACCATGGAATTTGTTTCTCTAGCAATGAAAAACCCATCAGACAAGAATCTGACACTTCAATGTAACATATTTATTCACAACTTTTATCTTTCCTATCCACAAGATAAAGGAAGCATTTCCCTTGTAAACATTCAGATGTGTAAACATATTTTAATAACTTACGTTTCTCATTTTTAAGCCACTATATTAATCATCTTATTATGTATATATGCATTGAATAAACTTTACATATTAACTAGCACAGACCTTACAATTACAAAAGAAAAATACAAGTTTCAGTACTTTTATTCATATATAAAACTCAAGCATTTCATTTCCTATAGAGCCAATAAAAATATGATTTTTAAGGATAACAGTACTAAAAAAAATTGGCAAAAAAAGAACCAAAAATTACTTTGCTTCCTAAATCCAAGTTGAACATCATCAATAGCTAATATCGGAATCATTTTTACAATATTCTATGGGACAGGTACCACTCTAAGTCATAGAGGGCAGGCATATCATTTGCTGCAAATTGTATAACAGTAGTAGAAAGGGTTATTCCAATCCTGGGGTTTAGCTTCAAACCCCATGGTCTTCACCACTACCCTGACCCTACATCAGTGTATTTTATACAAAATAATTATGTAATTGCAGCAAAATTTTGTGTTTACTATAAACCATTACTTGTAAAGTTCTAATATACCATACATCAAAGTAAATTGAGTCAAACTCAAAATCTTTCTATTAATACTTTCCTAGTGTTATACAGGACAAACTAAAAAGATCATTATCTGCTTTTCTAAATACTTAGTAAGCCAAGAAAATTTCATAGTAATCATAATTCTTTTTTTTTTTTTTCGGTCGGTCATGGGTCTTGAACTCTGGGCTTGGACTCTATCCCTCCGCTCTTCAGCTCAAGGCGAGCGCTCTACCGCTTGAGCCACAGCACCACTTCCGGTTTTCTAGTGGTTTATTGGAGATAAGAGTTTCATGAACTTTCTTGCCTGGGCGGGCTTTGAACCGTGATCCTAGGATCTCAGCCTCCTGAGTAGCTAGGATTAAAGGCGTGAGCCACCGACACCCGGCATAATCATAATTCTTATAGACATATTTTGAATATTGTTTTGGTTATTAGCAAATAGACATTATATTTAAACAAAATCTTTATCTCCTGTCCCTCAAAAACAAATTACATACCTCAGTTCCTTTGTCTGTAGATCTATTGGGTCATGAGTTTCACTGTCCATGTGGAATCGAACTTCAGGAGAAGAGAGAGTCAAAGCCCTGAATAAAAAAGAAAGGTAAATAAGTCATATGAGCCAATTAGAGAGAAACCTCTGGAAGTGCTTCCTACCATATCAAGTGATCAAGACTTGTTCTTCTGAAGGCTACCAAGTTTTATATTGGTTTTATAAATAACTATTTTACAGATATGAGTTTGCAGAATACAGCAGAAAATCTGGCTCACTGTGTTCCTAAGTATTTGAGTATCTTCTTGTACCCAAACAATAAATTACTGGGTTACAAAAATTTGCAATCACTCTTACAAATGGCAGTATTTTATTTAGTATGGAAAACAATTTATTGAGGTGGGAGACAATGGAGAGGGTAAAAGGGCACTACTATTAATAGATTAGTAATGTCAGGAGTTGGAAGGTCTATAGTATATTCAACTCACAAAAAGGAGGTAAATGGGCTGGGAATGTGGCTTAGTGGTAGAGTGCTTGCCTAGCATGCCTGAAGCCCTGGGTTCAATTCCACAGTACCACATAAACAGAAAAAGCCAGAAGTGATGCTGTGGCTCAAGTGGTAGAGTGCTAGCCTTGAGCACAGAGAGGTTCAGGGACATTGCTCCAGGCCCTTAGTTCAAGCCCCAGGATTGGCAAAAAAAAAAAAAAAAGAGGTAACTATCATGGATATGTTACAAGGATTGATGCTATTAATTTTGAGAGCTATGTGCAGATAATGGACTAGGCAAAGGGCTTTACATGCATGGCTCACTTAACTGACAAGTTCTTTCTTTGAAATGTATATTTTCAACAGGCACTGGTGACTCATGCCTATAATCCTAGCTACTCAGAGGCTGAGGTCTGAGGATTGCATTTTGAAGCCAGCCCCAGCAGGAACGTCTGTGAGACACTTATCTCCAATAAATTACTCACGAAAATGCCAGAAGTAGCACTGTGCCTTCAGTGGTACAACACTAGCCTTGAGCAAAAGAAGCTCAGGGACAGCACCCCAAGACACACACACACACACACACACACACACACACACACACACAAAGGTAAATTCTCACAAGTCTACATACACAAGTCTAATATTTCTTCATAACCAAATAACATTTATTAAGTGAGCTCTAAATCAAACTACTGAGGCTGAGTAATCTTGGATCATTATGAAGAAGTTCCATAAAATAGAGAAGGAAAAAAAAATACTGAGATGGGTAAAGGTAGTAAAAATCTAGTCTATCCCTTCCTCAATTACTCACCTGTATTACAAATTTTCCAGGAGGGATCCTACAAATCTGGCAAGTGGCTCTTTTGTGTGTGCAAATGTGTTGGAACTGGACTTGAACTCAAGAGCACATGCCCTTAGCTCTGCTTTGTCACTCAAGGCTGGTACTCTACAACTTGAGCTATACCACTAGTTCTGGCTTTTTTTGCTGGCTAATTTGTCTGCCTCACCTGGTTTAGAACCTCAATCCAGATCTCAGCCTTCTGAGTATCAAGGATTATAAGCATGAGCCACCAGCACCCAGCCTAAGCACCTCTTAAGCCATGAAGTACTTAGCAAGTTCTACATCAGATCTAGTATATGTTTACTAATATATAAAAGCAAGGCATACTAATCACGTTTTGTTGGGTTTTGTTTTTTACTTATTTCGATGGTAATGAGGTTTAAACTCAGAGCTTTGTGCTTGCAGCTCCACTGAGCCATGCCTCCAAGTCCTCCTTAACCACATTTTGATCCTTTTCTGGCTCATAGAACATGTGAGGTGTTATTTCAATCCAAGAGGATTAACAAGTGAAGAAAAAATACATAATCTCTTTAATTACTATTATCTCAATTCTCTCTAAGAAAGGCTGAGAAGATTTCATACTATCTTTAATGGTAACGGACTGACTGCTAACTTCAAAAGAAAAACCAATGCTTGATAGGAAATGTAGTCATTACCTTGCTCATGTAACTGTAACCCCTCTGTACAGTATTTCACAAAAAACTTATTAAAAAAAAAGAAAAAGTTTACAACTAAAAACTCATTCCTGTTTATGAGAAGCTATATTATAAATGCAAATGTAGATATCTGACTTTTAAAACTGCCAAATAATTATGGCTTCAATTTGTGTCATATTTATTTTGCTTTTATTAGTTATTACTTTTCTTTTTGCCAGTCCTGGGGGCTTGAACTCAGAATCTCCAGCTCTTGCTTGGCTTTTTCACTCAAGTCTGGTACTCTTCCTACCACTGGAGCCATACCTGCACTTCTAGCTTCTTTTTGGTTAATTGGAAATAAAGGGTTTCACAGAATTTTCTGCCTGTACTAACTTTAAACCTCGATCCTCAGATCTCAGCTCCTAAGGTGTGAGCCACCAGAACCCAACTTTCTATAGAAGTCAAGGAATATGTAATTTCTTTAAGATCTTTAACTCAAAGACAACAATCAACCATCAAGTTATTAATCAGAATCAAGTTACTAAAGCTTAAAAGACAGAAAATAGGATATTTCTACTTAAGTGTCTACTCAGCTTATTAAGTAACTCATTACTAAATTATCATAACAAAACTCTTAAAAACCCAAGTCATCTTAATACCATAATTAAGGAACTAAGATATATCTCTATGGATATTTTAGAAACATACCCTTTTGCGATTCTTCCTTTCTTCAGAATTTTAGCTAGTTTATTTAGTCCACGGAGACTAGTGGTAATATCATCATTCATGGTGGCTGAGTCAATTCTCATCTGAGCCTCTGCATAAGTAAGAGATGCCTGACAAAGATCTATATGTTACTATCATTTTTTCTTTTCAATTAAAAAATTTATATTAATATATTTAATAACAAGTGGTATATAGATATTTCAGAACTACAATATGATGATTTGTCTATACCATTTACTGAATATTACCACTGAAAGTAACAAAGTTACTAGTTGTGCATGGGGGTACTAAAGAACCACCTAAAAATCTATTAATATTATTCTATAAGTGATCAAACTAGTTTACTATCTAAATCATACTGTTCTTTTTTTTTTTTGTCGGTCATGGGGCTTGAATTCTGGGCCTGGGCGCTGTCCCTTAGCTCTTCAGCTCAAGGCGAGCGCTCTACCACTTGAGCTACAGCGCCACTTCCGGTTTTCTAGTGGTTTATTGGAGATAGGAGTCTCACGGTCTTTCCTGCCCGGGCTGGCTTTGAATCGTGATTCCCAGATCTCAGCCTCCTGAGTAGCTAGGATTACAGGCGTGAGCCACCGGCGCCCGGCTTAAATCATACTGTTCTATGTCATATTACTTACTATTTAACTATGTTAAATCTCCTATTTCCACCACATAAACATCTATAATGTTGAGAAGCCTAAACTCAATGGGAAGGGAAATTCATAGCTCTATACCTCACAGCAATGATTCCTGGTTCATTAGCTCTGACCTGAGAATTCACAAAATAAATAAAGTAAAATGGCACTAGCCTTAATAAACGGTCTCAACTTTAATGACTTCCCCATTTCAATTAGTATTTAGGTAATGCTAGAATGAAACAAAAAAGCGGGTTTTTTTCTCTAAATTCTTTTCAGAGGAAAGTTCACTGGCAAGATGAAAAGAAATCTAGATGCTTCTACTTAGTACAAAATCCCTAAACCATAAATCCCTAAACTTATGTTCCTAAAAAGGGAACAAAACACAAAAGAAAAAATGTAACATAATCTGCAATTCAGATAATCCAAATGGACAAACAACTGCTTCTGTTCCTATTTCTTTCCAGATAGAAACAGCATTTTTCAGCTTCTTGAAAAACCATGGCTTCATTAATTAGACATCAGAAATAAGCAATTTAGGTACTGGATTTCTGAGAAGCAATGAATCTACTAAGGACTAAAAGTCTTCTTTCTAAAAGAAATGTTTTATATGTCTACTATGTTTTTCTCTACCATTTCCTTACACTGATCAAGGCTAGGAGAATTAGCTCACTAAAATTAAAACTACAAGTTTATGAATGCTTAAATAATGCACATAACACTATCAGTTTAACACTGCTTTCTTTCTAATTTCTAATCATACCCAAAAGAGACACTGAATCTAAATAAAAAAGCAGGTTGTGGTTTGGAAAACAGATTGAAAAAAAAAGGGGTTTGGAAAAACTTGGGGCTATTAGGTCAAAATGAGGGAGCCTTTGAAGGAATATGGCAGAAATGTAATAAAAGGCAAAAGAGGGAAGAGATACTCTGGTCCCACTGAGTCTGAGCACACTTTCAGGATAGCCCTAGGAATCTGACTCTGACAAATCATTTCTATGAGAAAATGTGGAGACAGTAATTTCTAAAACAGTAAACATTTTTCATGAAAAACAACATCAAATACTGCGGTTCTTGAATTACAACCTAAGAATATCATTGTTCTAAGTATATAGGCTCTGTGAATTTCTAATACAATACTTCCACATATTTTTGAGTCATATTAAACAAATATTTAAATTCTTTTTTTTTTTTTGGGGGGGGGTCTGGTTGTGGGTCCTGAACTCTGGGCCTGGGCGCTGTCCCTCAGCTCTTCAGCTCAAGGCTAGCGCTCTACCACTTGAGCCACAGCACCACTTCCAGCTTTTTTTTTTTTTTTGCTTATGTGGTGCTGAGGAATCGAACCCAGGGCCTCAGGCATACAAGGCAAGCGCTCTACCACTGAGCCAACTTCCCAGCCCCACAAATATTTAAATTCTTAAAACAAAAGAACTAGATCTTGCTGTAACACGGAAGAAAAATGTAACAGTATAAAGGATTATACAATTAGGCTTAATTTTTTTCAAAATCAATCATAAAACTATTAAAAGTAGCAAGAACTTTAAATATTGAAGACAAATCAGGACTCTAACCTTTGAGTTAATAACACTTTTGGTAAATCTTGTTTTTAAGATTTCAGCATTGTGATTCATTTCCCAAATACAGGAAAATGCCAACCTGTGGAAAGAGTACATTTACTTATGGGAACCAACTAATAGATAAAAACAGCCTTCTTGTGAAAAAAAAAAGCATATATAAATACCTGTCTACGTTACATCTTAAGGAACACAAGTTAGAGCTGAGCAACTCTGGAACCATATCAATCCTCTGTAAAAAACACAACAGCAATTCCAATTAGCTATACCCATATCTTTTAGAGCCTACTCTCAAATGGCATTAAGTAAAAACAAAGTCTTTGTGATTAAGAGAACCCAGAAAATGTTAAATATAACATCTGTTTGTACAAAAGGACTTTATTTATTTATTTATTTTTGGTCAGTTGTGGGGCTTGAACTCTGGGCTTGGGCACTGGCCCTCACCTCTTCAGCTCAAGGCTAGTGCTCTACCACTTGAGCCACAGAGCCACTTCCGGTTTTCTGGTGGTTAATTGGAGATGAGAGTTTCTTGGATTTTCCTGCCCAGGCTGGCTTTGAACCACGATCCTGATATCTCAGCCTCCTGAGTAGCTAGGATTACAGGTGTGAGCCGCCAGCGCCCAGCCAAAAGGACTTTTTTGTGTGTGCGACAGTCCTGTACTCAAGGACTTAAACCAGGGACTAGGCATTGTCTCTGGGCTTTTATGCTCAAGGCTAGCACTCTACAAATAGCCACTGCTCCATTTCTGGATTTTTGGTGGCTAACTGGCAATGAGAGTCTCATGAACCTTTTTGCCTGGGCTGGCTTTGAACCACAATTCTCAGATATCGGTTTCCTGAGTAGTCAGGATTAGTCATGAACCACAACTAAAAGGACTTTTTACAGAATGAAAGTAATGTCAGAAAACTGGACTACATTCCAGGGGATTAAAGTTTTAAGTCCTCTGAACAACAGCCCCCCCATCCTGCTGCCTGTCTTCTAAACCTTGAAATCACCAGAAGTTATAAGCTACTTGATAACTGACAGCTCTGTGCCCACCTTTCCCCAAGGCTTAGCAACAAAAAAATGGTGTTTTAAAAATACTGAGAGCTGGGTGCTGGTGGCTCACGCCTGTAATCCTAGCTACTCAGGAGGCTGAGATCTGAGGATCGCAGTTCAAAGTCATCTCAGGCAGGAAAGTCTGTGAGACTTATCTCCAATTAGCCACCAGAAAACTGGAAGTGGTGCTGTGGCTCAAGCAGTAGAGTGCTCACTTTGAGCTGAAGAGTGCAGGGACAGCGCCCAAACCCAGAGTTCAAGCCCCACGACGGACCAAAAAAAAAAAAAAACTTAAAGAGGGCTGAGAATGAGACTTAGTGGTAGAGTGCTTGCCTACCATGCATGAAGTCCTAGGTTCAATTCCTCAGTACCACATAAACAGAAAAAGCCAGAACAATCACTGTGGTTCAAGTGGTAGAGTGCTAGCTTTGAGCTCATGGACAGTGAGTGCCCAGGCCCTGATTTCAGGTCCCAGGACTGGGAAAAAAAAAATAATGAGATATACAGAGAGGAATGGAAAACTAACATTTATGAGAAAAAAGCTACCTTTGATCATGAATCTAAAATAGATAAAATAAGCTAAACCATCCTATCACTTTCTCATTCATTCTATGCTTAATTCATTCTATGCTTAATGCCACATAATCATTTATGTCGATTTCATTTACATTGGACCAGTAAATAATTAGAAAATTGCAATATTTTCAGCAACTTAGACCACCTAATTCCATGTACTTACTTCAATAAAAAACGGATTCAAATTTTCTACTAATACTAGAACAAACTGACTGTTTAAAGATTCACTGACCACTTTTAGAAGTTCACAGCCAAATTGGGCTACACAGAAAGACCCTACCTCAAGAAAATAAATCAAAGCCAGGAGTCAGTAGCTCATGCCTATAATCCTGGCTACTCAGAAGGCTTAGATCTGAGGATCACGGTTCAAAGCCAGCCAGGCAGAAAGTCTGTGAGAAAACCAGAAGTAGTTCTATGGCTCAAAGTAGTAGTGCACTAACCTTGAGGAAAAGAGCACAGGGACTGTGCCCAGGCCGAGTTCAAACCCAACAGACCAAAAAAAAAAGGAACATACAATTAAGAAAAGCACCTCCCACCCCAAACTCATGATTATCACAAGATTTTAAATTCAACACATACCTTCTCACAAAGATACACAGTTGTGCCTCTTCTTGCGGATTCTTGATCCAAGGCATTTCCTGGCCTAATAAAATGACTAACATCGGCAATATGAACACCAACCTTAAAATGATAAAAACAAAATGGAGTTTAAATGAGAACTTAGGTAAATTAAAAAGTGCATCAGTCACATCATTCATTTTGCAGCTATAGTTTTGTAAGTTTAATTCACAATTCGATGTTGGGTCAAAAGAAAATGAACTCAAGGCTAACTGGCTCAGGCCTGTATTTACAGCATATTAGGAGGCAGAGATAAGGATCAAAGTTTGAGGCCAACTTGGACAAGAAATTAGCAAAACTTTTGTCAGCAAGGAAGCAAGGCATGAAAGTACATGCCTGTGTAGCTATGTGGGAAGACAGAGGGCTGAGACAGGTCTAGGCAAAAGATTTAAAAAAAGCACAGCATTTTATTTTGGTCAGAATAGTATGAACCCCCTGAATACCTCCAAATTGCCATTAGTGAGCTCTCTACAATGTAAAGCATCATCTATATCAGTACAGCCTGGAGGGTCCACACTGCAAACACAAAGATGCCTCAGGTCTTCTCGGTTTTTCATGTCCTAGAATTTACATTAAAGAAATATTTAACTAGTACAACTCCAACATGGCTCTTGTGAAATCAATAATAGTATCTCTATAAAATAACTATAACTTGTCGACAACTACATGATTTGGAACCTTTTCCCTGCCTTTGAAAAGCTTGACATAGACTACTATGTCCTGCCTAGAAGACTTGAGTTTTCAGTTAAAGAACAAATGATTTAGGTAATTAATACCTAACAGTGCTTTAAGTAGCTATAAATGTGGGAAGGGAAGGAGGAATATGGGTCCTGATAATTTCCAAACACACACAGAAATCAACAACAGCATAAAGTCATGGGCAATCCATTTAACTTGCCTGATCAGTAATGCTCCAGGGCATCTTGGGCAGGAAGCTGAGAACAGCCTGGGAGAAGGGCTGATGAGGAACATCATGCTCCAGCAACAGAACCTCTGTTTCTGTCTCCTTCTCTCCAACATCACCTAAATTTTTTACAAAGTGGCCCTAAAACGAAAAAGTATTATAGCCAGTTGACATTGTATTATTCTATTAAATTCTCCAGTATTCTATACATCTTTTCAGTATTTCTGAATATCTCTAATAACTACTTAGACCCTTTTCTAAATTAAAAAATACCAAGACTTTTTAAGCGATTTACAATGGGCCCAAGTTCTTCTATTATAGAGCATCTGGTTATCTCCTATGAAATGTCAAGATTAACCCCGGTGGCTTGGCTGATAGCTGAAGATCATGGTTCAAAGCCAGCCAAAGCAGGAAAATCCATGCAATTCTTATCTCCAACTAACCACCAGAAAACCAGAAGCCGTGCTGAAGCTCAAAGTGGTAGAGCACTAGCCTGGAGTACAAAAGCTCAGGGACTGTGCCTAGGCCCTAAATTCAAGCCTAATATCGACCAAAAAAAAAAAAAAGGATTCAAAAGAGCCAGGTGCTAGTGGCTCTTGCCTGTAATCCTAGCTATTCACAAGGCTGAGATCAAAGCCAGCCTGTGCAGGCAACCTGTGAGACACTTATCTCCAATAAACTACTCCAAAAGAAAAGCCAGAAGTAGAGTTCACCTTGAGCAAAAAGCAGCTCAGGGACAGCACCCCAGGCCCAGATCAGCAAAAAAGTGAGGGAGGAAAGACTCTTGGAATATACATGTATATAACATATACATGTATATAATACACAGGCTCAGATCAGCCAAAAAAAAAAAAAAGTGAAGGGGGGAAAGACTCTTGGAATACACATGTATATAATATACATGTATATAATGACATTTAAATAACTCCTCCTCCCCATATAATACATAATAACTTTTTAAAGCTTCAAAATTTATTGATTAAAATCTACATAGGACTCCATCCTTTCTGAAGATGTGATCAGTAAAAGTTGTTTGGCAATTTGAGTAAAAATCATAATATATATTGGAATTCCATAAAATTTACTTTAAAATTCTATACATTAACAGACAACTGTGAAATATCCATTTCCCTACAACTCCAATAAAGAAGTATTCTACTTTCCCTAAAAGCAACAATATTATTCACAAACCATTAAATATTCTAGAATAAAAACAGTTTTTTAAGCTTACATTTGGATATCTGGAATTTCTGGGCCAACCATCAATAGCAACAATAATTCTCCGTCCTTCTAATGTAGAAGCCTGTCTGGTTTCTATCCGAATTCGTGGGATTCTCTTATCAGCAGGTGTAAAGAGATGTCTTCTTGACTACAAAAAATTAAGAAATAAGGTGTTTTGTTTTTTAGTGCTGAGTATCAATCCTATGCTAGCAGGAATTCTAATGTTACTGAACTATACCCCAGCCCAGGAAAAAATAATCTCTCTCATACACATATATACACATCTGAGAACAGAGGCAAAAGAAAGGCTGAAGTTCTAATCAATATTGATCACATCTTTTTTTAAACAGTACTATGCTTTTTACTTACCTCTTTAATGTCAGACTTGGAAAGCATGCCACAGTATGGTCTCCAATTCCTTTTTATTATTCCTACAACTCTACCCGTAGGCTTTAACATTTTTTCACTGACAACAGTCTTGAGCTGAGATATGAAAATTAAAATCTCTAGTTAATTTACTCCAAATATAACAAGTCAATCTCCCTTCAAACTAAAGTATATTAAATGGACACTAGTACACTCGGATAGTAAATTATGACATAAAATTCAGAGTGTTTCAAAATTCTAGAAAAGAACGTGCTCATCCAAACCACTGAAATGGTTCCATGAAACAAACCACTGCAAAAATGGTTGATCAAAACAAAAAGTATGACTGGAGGGGCAACTCAAGCAGTAGATAGCCTGCCTAGCAATCATGAAGTCCTGAATTCAATCTCCAGTGCCATAGATAAATAATAACTGCATAAATGTCAGAATTCACTTTTTGGCTTTATTGTAAGGATTTACTGATTAACATACAAGCCTAAGAATTAGAATATGAAGAGTTTATTAAGCCCACAGAACTATAATTTCATTCAATAAATCTAAAAACAATAAAGCTTACTAGTAAACTTTCTCCAAAGTGAGGAATGAATGAGACTGACTGGAGTATATTGTAAACATGTGGAAACATAAGGATGAAATTCCCTCCTGCATAAGTAATGTAATATTAACAATGTAGATACATAGACAAAAGTTAAAACCTGCTTAGTTGCATACCATCCGTTCTCTCTCCTCTTCTTTTTCTACATCATCCTCATTCTGTCCTTCATCTTGTAAAACCACAGAAGATGGTGCTACCCACTGACTCTTAGGGAGAAGCTCCACAGCCACAATATCTTCATGAACAGCTCGGTTTAAGTGTTTCAGCCCTTGTAAGATTATCTATTCAAACAACAAATGGCATGAGCTCAAGTACTTTTAGTAGCAGTCACAGAAATATTAGGTAAGAGAAGTTTATGTGAACCAAAAATATCTCTATGTAATCCCTAATTCTCTTCATATCTCCTGAGTGGCTTTCCTGTAGTCCACACCTTCAATTTCTAAAGTTTTAAGTAAAAAAATATACAAGTAAGAAAATATGAAAAGCAGGGCGCTAGTGGCTCACGCCTGTAATCCTAGCAACTGAGGAGACTGAGATCTGACGATCATGGTTCAAAGCCAGCCCGGGCAGGAAAGACGGGAGACTCCTATCTCCAATAAACCACCAGAAAACTGGTGGCACTGTAGCTCAAGTGGTAGAGAGCTCACCTTGAGCTGAAGAGCTGAGGGACAGCGCCCAAGCCCAGAGTTCAAGCCCCATGACCGACCAAAAAAAAAAAAAAAGTAATAAAATATGGGCTGCGACATGTGACACGAACAGTATTTGTCCTAACTAGCTATAAAATACAAAACAGAATCCTCTAATCTTATAGTTCCTGGTGAATATTTATTCTCTTAAAAGTAATATAACAGCAAGTTCTTTTCTTCAATAACCAAGTTCCCAAAAAGCTGATCAATTCTACTAGTATTTATGTCTTCCTTCAAACAGTTAAATTTATATTCTCAAACAAAATATTTAAGCATACTAAATAAAGAGAATGAACAATGAAATATTTTAGCATTAAAGAATTTATACACTCTGGCTGAGAATGTGGCTTAGTGGAAGAGTGCTTGCCTAACATGCATGAGGTGCTGGGTTCAATTCCTTGCTACCACATAAACAACAACAAAAAATAACATAAATGAAATTTAAGCTAAAAAAGTTTTAAGAACAATAACAAAAAAGAATTTGTACACTTACCTCTTTATTTTCTTCGGTATCTCCATGAATCCATACTGTAGCTTCTAAATAATTTTCCCTGCTAGCTCTAAATGTTCCTTGAAGGTATGAACCAGATTTTATGCCTTGCTGCAGCTTACTTAAAGGAAGATGCTCTGAAAATATTACTTTTCCACTTTCTATTTCATTCTATAAAATAAGCCCAAAGATGCAACAAGTCACTGTTCATTCAATGTATAATTACACTGAATGTAATTAGTTAGTATCAGGCAATTTTTAAAAAAATCTACATTATGGAACATTTACCTATGATTTTAAGAGAATAAAGCAAAATGTTTCTTCTAGGCCAATCCTATCCACAGCAACTTTCTGTGATAAAGGGTATAATCATTGTGTGCCTAGCCAGTAGGCACAAGTTTCTCTGAATCATACAACTGAAAAACTAAATTTGAACCAAAACTTAGCCACATGCAACTAATTACTACAAAGTCATAAGACAATTCTAAATTTGTATTCCAAAAATCAAGTTCAGCTTTTATCTTTTATCATTTATAAGACTTTTAGTCGTATAAAGTAGCTAATGGAAAAAGAAGATTAAAGATTAAATATGGGGGCTAGGAAGTTGGTGGTTCAGTGGTAGAGTGCTTGCCTCCCATGCATGAGGCCCTGGCATCGATTCCTCAGCACCATATAAACAGAAAAAGCTGGAAGTAGCGCTGTGGTTCAAGTGGTAGAGTGCTATACTTTAGCTGAAGAACTCAGGGCCAGTACCCAGGCCCAGAGTTCAAGCCCCACGACTGACCAAAAAAAAAAAAAGATTAAATATGTACTACTGTAATCCATGAGACAGTGGTTCATACCTGTAATCCTAGCTATTTAGAAGGCTGAGGTCTAGAAGATCATGGTTCAAAGTCTACCTGGCAATAAAGTTTGCTAGACTCCATCTTCAAAGTAACCAGCAAAAGGCAGAGCTGAATGTGTGAAGTGGCAGAGCACTAACCTAGCAAGCACAAGCAATAGCTTTATGTAATAGGGCTTTTTTTTTCTTCCAATACTAGGATTTGAACTTAGTATCTTTTTTATTCAGCTTACTTGCTTGGGACTTGCTCAGCTTTCTTACTTATGACTTGGTGCTTTACCATTTGAGCCATTCCTCTAGCCCAGTTTTGCTGGTTAACTGGAGATGTAATCTTTTTTTTTTTTTTTTGGTTGGTCGTGGGGCTTGAACTCTGGGCCTGGGCACTGTCCCTCAGCTCTTCAGCTCAAGGCTAGTGCTCTACCACTTGAGCCACAGCACCACCCCTAAAGATGGAGTTTTGAGGACAATTCTGCCTGAGCTGGCTTCACACCATGATCCTCCAAGACTTACCCTACTGATTAAATAGGAATATAGGTGTGAACTACCAGCTCCTAGCTAGTTCAGCCTTTTCTATGACTTTTTTCCCTTCTCTTTTGGGCTTTATATTGACTATACTGCCTACTACTTATTTCACAAACTACTACTACGTATTCCCAAATCAACCATGGATTCTATTTATTTCCTCATCAAATAGAGCCACTGTATTTTCTAAAGTCACTTCATTTAAAAATGGCATTTCAGTACCCTTGTTTATAAATTCTTGTTTATAACCCACTTCTATTTCCATTTTACCTCACAGTCTAATACTCCAATTTTTGAATTTTACAGCTGTAAGTCTTATATCCCAAAATGCTTATTTTAATATTTTTACTTTTCAAATATAGAACCAACACATACCCCTTCTTCAGACAAGCAAGCAAGACGATCTATAAGTTCAGGGTTAGCTGTCAGGCTCTTTATGTATTCTTCACCTGAAAAATAAAATAAGCCAATACTATTCTTCTGTGTGTGTGCTGTTTGTGGGGCTCAAAGCCAAGGCCTCATGCTCTATTCAGCTTTTTCTGCTCATGGCTGGTGCTCTCTCACTTGATTACACCTCCATTTCCAGTTTTCTGCTGGTTAAACAGACATGAAAGTCTCAAGGATTTGATTGCCCAGGCTGCTGACTCCAAACTATGATCCTCAAAACTCAGCCTTTTGAATAGTTAGGATTATTAGGCCTACAGCTGACATTTTTTTAAAACTTAAAATGTCTCGTTTTCTTGAGATAGGAAATACATGAGTAATCTTGCTGAAAATAGGGCGTTTAAAAAAATTAAAATGAAAACAAATTTGTTGATGTATTCAAGCAAAGAAGTGGGTTTAGCACATCTGTGATTTTACTGCTAAGTAAACTGAAGGTGGTAAGGGAAAAATTGCAGCCACTGAGCAACCAAACTTTAAGGTTTGGTTTAAAGCTTTGGAGTTGAAACTACAATGTAGAAATTAAGAAAATCGGACTGGGGGTTTAGCCCAGTGGAAGGGCGCCCGCCCGGCGCAAGCAAGGACCTGGGTTCGGACCTCAGCCCTGGAAAAAAAAAAAAAAAAGAAATTAAGAAAATTACATGAAATTATATAGGATAATAAAAATATAAAGTAGTCAACCAATCATCTGACCAGAATTTTGATATGTACTTGCAAAAATGCAGCAATACATTCTACATTAAAACTTACAGGTGAACCGGGCACCAGTGGCTCACGCCTATAATCCTAGCTACTCAGAAGGCTGAAAACTGAAGATCATGGTTCAAAGCCAGCCTAGTCAGGATGTCCATGAGACTCTTTTCTCCAGAAAACCAGAAGTGGTGCTGTGGCTCAAGTGATAGAGCATTTGCCTTGAGGTAAAGAGCTCAGGGACAGTGCCCAGGCCCAGAGAGATCAAGACCCATGACAGACAGACAGACAGACAGACAGACAGACAGACAGACAGACAGACACACACACACACACACACACACACACACACACACACACACACACACAAACAAAACCCACAAAACTTACAGGTGAAGGCTGGTATTCCTTCTTCTACAGCTTTCTCTTTGTTTTTCTTGTCATTTGTTATAAAGATAACTTGTAGTTGATTTTCTGCTGACATCTTCTTAAAATGTTCATTGTACCATTTTGCTGCTACTCGAATGGCTCTATCATTTCTGTCATTAGCATTTTCTCCCTGTTCTTGTTCTACATAGGTTTCTCTAGATGTAAAGGGAAACAAATGGAAATAAGAAAAATCAACAGAACCAAGAATATGTAAAAAGTCTCAGAAAATAAATGTTCAACAACTAAACTGAAATCCATTGTGTACCCATTTTCACTTGAATATACTTATATCTAACAGAAAAATAACAAATTTCTTACATTAGGACAATTTGCTTAGGAATGAAAAAATTATTTTTATTATTTTTTTTAATCTTTTAAAATTCACCTTTTTTTTTTTAAACTGTATTTTTTTTTGTCTTTTCTTTTTTGGTACTGGGGATCAAACCTAGGACGTTGCACTTGCTAGGCAAGCGCTTTGCCACTGAGCCACATCCCAGCAGGAATGAAAAAATTATTAATAAGACAATAACAAGGGTAAAATAGTTTTACTTCACAAAAGGAGTTCAAGAAAAAGATTTAGACCTTAGGTTGGCACGTTAAATAATAGATTTTTGGAACAAACTAATACAATTTTGGGACCTTGTAATAAGACTCCATTCAAAGTGTAGATTACCAGCAATTCCTACATGCTACAAATAGCATGATTAGATGATTCAAGAATAAATGATTCTACTGTCAATACATGCCAAAGACTACACAATGACTAAAAAACCAGATATAGGTATGACTACATTTTTCTACTCTGAACTCTTAGTACGTAAGCACATTTATCTATTTCTTTGTTAAATCCAGTACAACGGGATCTAGCTTATAAAGATAATAGTTTCAGTTTTGACACATCTACATGAATAGTTTTTAGTATTATTATATTGTTCCTTATTAAATATATCTGTTAATGTGTTAAGCTTACTGAGAAAAGCCATGGTCATAAAGTTGAGTTTTTTTTTTTTTTTTAGCATGACTAAAGTATTAACATCCTAAATGATGTTTGCCTAGTGTCTTAAGTATGTTCCCATCAGTCTATGGTTGTGAAGGCCTCCTCACAGCACTTGAGCTATCCACAAAAACTTGCCAGTATTGAGAAATAAATGATGTTTGTTTCTATATTTCAAGGAAATTCAACAAGTAAGTATGCAAGGAAAAAGTCTACAAATACCTTATTGAAGCAGAATTAAATCCTGTCACTTTAAGAACCAGCTTATAAATGAAAGTTTTAGAACTACAACCATTACAGCCTGAGGTCAGGAGACCTTGCTTGTTGCCTTGACCTCACCTATGCCCATGTAACTTTGTAAGATCCACACAAACAAAAAGCCTACCAAACTATTGTTTATCTTTGATGCAGGCACAAATTACTTGAGGTAATCCTTTCTTCAATTTAGCTGGTGAGATGGTTCTGCAATACTGAATTTTCCTTACCTATGATGCTCATTAGTGAACGTGTAGAAATGCTTCTCCTGGTTATTAGTCACATCTCTGATACGCTTATATATAGGAGCACTACGATTCCTCACTTCCTGGAGGACTGTCTGTAGCACAATCACATTCCTGATGGCAGGGTCCTCTAGAACATCGATCTTAAAAGAAAAAGAAAAAGTTAACTTTTCCTATATTCATTTATAGAAGAGCTTCTGCAAACACAATCCTGTTACAGTTGAAAAACACTGACTCTATAGTACACTAGAGAGTTACTCTGGTATAGGAAAAGTGACAATGAACCCTTTAGATCTAGGGGAGAAAAGCACTCCAAGAGACCCATCACAAAATGTGGTAGAATTAACGCTATAAATAAATACATTGGCCCACAGAATTTTTGTTCGTAGGCACTTACAATCTGCCTGAGGGGGAGTCTCAATCAGGAGGCCACGGAAGCCCAGCTCCCCAGCTTCCAGACACTTAAAATCTATAGGCAGAAGAGACATCAAGCGTTAGAAAATTCACGTGCCTAAAAAGGAAGACTCCAAAAACTATAAAGAAGGAAAAAAACAACCTACAGAAAAGAACCTCGGCCTGGAAAGCAGGAAGACGGGGTCCTTAAGTCTCCTCTCCTAAAATGCTGCCAGCGCCCCGCCTCCCTGGGCCTCAGTTTCCCCGCCCCGCCCCCTGCCCCGCGAGGGCCGCCGTCGCCCGCGTGCTGCCAGCCCTTCGACGCACCTGGTGCAGCAGCACGTTGGTGTCGGGCAGCAGGTAGTGCGGTCCCGGCCAGAGGCTGCTGGCGGGGTCGAGCGGCTGCGGTTCCAGGGCCGGCCCCTCGTGCGCCCGCCCGCACGCCGTGCAGCCCGGGGCCCCGCAGCCGATGTCGTCCCGCAGGTAGTGCTCGCGCACGATCTTCATCACGCCGCCCGCGCGGGTCTTTTTTAAGAACGTCTTCGACTTAAGCATCTCGCCCCGCAGCACCGTGGAATCCCGATCGCCGCCGAACTCTCCACAGCCAATGGGCCTCAACCCTGGAGCGCAGAGGCACGACTCTTCACAGCGCCCAAAGGTTTCCCTCTTCCCGCTTCAGCCTGGCAGTACAGAATTCTCGCGAGAAGACGCCCGGCGAGAGGATAGTTGACACGTTCCCGCCCCTTCCCCACCAGCCTTCCCCCTGACAGCCTAGGAGATTGAGCCGATGCGCTGGACGGGATTTACCTCTGGACTCCAACTCCCAACCTGCTTTGCTTCTCGAGCCTCAGGAGGCCGAGTTCCGGCGGCCAGGGATGTGCGCGCCGCTATCTTCCGGCTTCCTCGGAGGTGCGGGGATGGTTGTCCTGGAGACGGCTTCCAACGGCCCCGGGCCCAGCGATTCCAGGGTTGAGGGGCTGCCACCCCAAAACTGAGGACTCGGTTCCTCGGAGAGGCCGAGGCGGGGACAGGCTCCGCCTTGGGTGTCGATTCCCCGGAGCTCTCCAGGTAGCTGGCACTTAACTGTCTTCCCCATGACTTCCCCACGCCGGGCAAAGAGTGTGCCAACCAAAACTGGGGTTCCGCTTCCCGCCAGCCAAACGGGACCGCCGAACTCTCTGGGCTCTTATAATCCGGGCGAGGGTTTGTCTTGATTTCACCTTCCCCTCCCCCCCTTATTTTCAATTATTTATCGGGCAGGGCCTGGGGCTTGAACTCGGGGCCTGGGCGCGGTCCCTGCGCTTTGTGCTCCGGGCTGGCTCTGTACCGCTGGAGCCGCAGCTCCACGTGCGACCCCCCCCCCCCCCCCGTGGTTCACGCACCTCTTCCCAGTCTTTCCCGTTGACAAAAACTGAAATATATTTAAGAGAGCACGAATAAATGGTTATTTCGTGTAAATGGGGAAGTTGGTCGAATGCTTGCCAAACGGTAAGACGTTCTGTAGTTTAGAATTGTTTCTTTCCCCGACTCGCTTGCCTTTCATTCTTCGAGCTATAAAAAGAAAAATGCTTTATGTCTCAGTTAACTGCCTCTTTGTAAAATTCAGTGGTGTTTTATTGCCTGTAGAACACGTGATTTTTAAAGTGTTCATGGCCGAGCCGCCTGGCTGTCACTATTCAGCATGACAGAAATTGGCTACTGCTAAAAAACTTAATTTCCACTCATGTTATTTCGCACTTCTCCACCCAATTAAAGGGAGGGGAAAAAAAACAAACCCGCAGTATGGACATGATTTCCTTTTTCTATGCAAGTCCAAATCCTTCCATATTTTAAGTACTGTATCTGTATAACCTCTCTGAAGCGAATTGTTTCTCTGAGCTTGTGTTAGTTACCTAATAATGATTAGGTGCATTCTTGGGTATTAGTGGGCCTTTGTCTTGTACATTTTTGTTGTTTTGATTCATCCCAGGGATTTTTTGTTGTTGTTGTTGTTCATCTGAGGGCTAGTTTTAATGAATCTGTTTGATTTAAGCAGTGTAGCATTAAGCAGTGTAGCAATGTAGCATTCTAGCTTAATTGGGAATCTCCTCAATTATTTGGGGGGGAATGCTTTCCATTAGTGGGTTTTATTGTTGTTGTTTTTTTGGGGTCCAGTCGTGGGGCCTGAACTCGGCCTGGGCACTATCCCTCAGCTCTCCAGCTCAAGGCTAGCGCTCTACCACTTGAGCCACAGCGCCATTTCCGGCTTTTTTCTTTTTGCTTATGTGGTGTTGAAGAATCGAACCCAGGGCCTTGGGCATACAAGGCAAGCACTCTACCACTGAGCCACCTCCCCAGCCCCTCCATTAGTGTTTTATTAAGTTAATGTTTCTTTTTAATCTACAGAGAATTGAATTCGAAAACTCATAAATTTTCAAAAATGTCTCGAAAAATCCCTAAGGCGTCAAAAAAAGTGAACATCTCTAGTTCTCTGGAATCTGAAGATATTAGTTTAGAAACAACAATTCATACAGATGATATTTCCTCATCAGAAGAGCAAGAGGGTAAGGTCAAAATCACCAGGCAAATAATTGAACGGAAAGAACTACTTCATAATATTCAATTACTGAAGATAGAGTTATCTCAGAAAACTATGATGATTGACAATTTGAAAATGGATTATCTTACAAAGGTAAGATTAGGTGTACCTTTTGTTATTTACATTTTTTATAATTTTCATATTGCAAGTAAATAATTGTATCTGCACATTACTTAAAATAATACGCATACTTATTGTCTAACACAGGGTGAGTTAAATGTGAGCAGGAATGAATGACTTACTAAAATAATTGGTAATTTTGGTTTTAAGTCTGCTTTGTCAGATACTGAGTATAGCTACTAGCTTGCCTGCTTTCAGTTTTGTTTGCTTGGAATTTTGCTTTTCCATCCTTTCACTTTGAGCCTATATGTCTTTACCAGTGAAATGAATTTCTTCTAGACAACAAACAGATCTTGTTTTTTAAATCTTTTCAGCCACTATGCTTTTTTAAATTAAAAATCAAGATTGTTTACACTTAGGATTATACTAAGAGTTTTGTACTAACTTTGCTTTTCTTCATCTTAGAACGTTCCTTGTTTACTGACTAGTAATGACTGGGTTTTTTTTTTTTTTCTACTGATTTGTTCATCTTTTCTTTCAGTGAGATGATTTATTCTTTGCTGAACTCTTATAGTTAGGTATATCATTCTTCATTTTCTGTGATTCATATTCCATTATGTATCTTCTGCAATGCTGACTTAGTGGTCATGAATTACTTTCATTTATAATTGTTGTTCATGGAAGATTATTATTTCATCTTCAGTATTAAAGAATAACTTTTCTAGATGTAGGAGGTATAATTGACAGTTGTTTTTGTTGAAAGGCCTGAAATGCATCAGCCTATGCTTTCCTAGGTATTAGGATTTCTACTGAGAGGTCTCATTATTCTGATGGGTTTGCTTGGTGAAATTGCTTGATGTTTCTACTTGCTGCATTCAATATTCTTTCTTTATTCTGTAGTCCTGAAATTTTAACTATAATTTTTTGTGAGGTGGGTTTTTTCCTAATCGTATTCTAAATGCCTTGTTGAATTGGATATCTATTTCTTTCTTTATATATGAGAAATTTTCTGCTGTAATCTTACTGAATTTAGTAAAATGCCTTTATTACATATTTTTGTTCCTCTTCTGTACCATAGATTCAGTTCTTAATCATGTCTCAAAGGTGTTGGATATTGTGATGTTTGTGATCATGGTTTTATTTTGTTTGCTTTATTGCTATATTGCTATCTGAATGTAAACATTTTTCAGTATCGTCTTAGTGAAATTTATTCTCCCTGATTTTCTTTCTTCTAGTTTGTCAGTGATACTTCCAGTTGGATTTTTCATTTTATTCATTGAGCTTTTCATTTCCAAAATTTCCTTTTTTTCTAGAAACTATCTCTGTGATAAATTTCTCATCCAGGTTGTTGACTTTTATATCTGTGTCTTAAATTGACTTCCTTACTTTATCTTTTTATTAAGATCCACTTTGAGATGTTGATAAATTTTAAAACTAGACTTTGATATTCTTTAGCATTTCATCTTTTTCAGCATTTTTTGATTTGGTTATTGAATTGTAAACTTTTGGTGGAGTCATGTTGCTTTGAAATTTATATTTGTGCATTGGATATTTCTTCCAGTTTTCTTAGGGGCCAGACTGCTCTTGAGAGCTCTGTCCCCACTATTATTCAGAGAAGAGAAAATGAGATACCATAAAAGCAATACAATCTGGCTGTCTAGTATGTGGGCTGAGGCTTGAACTGCTTAAGAGTTGTTTGTCAGCTTCAGGAATGTCTCATTTTACAAGTTTCCCTTCTTTGTGTATCAGATGCCACTGCTGGCACTAATGAGTTTTGTGGCTTGTAGGCCAGATAGGTACCCACTTACTCCTTTGGTTCTCTAGTTTATATACACAGGCCCACAAAATGTCCACATTTAATGGTGTTTCCCAAATAGATGGGAGAATAAAGGCAGTAATCAGCACTGAGCTCTATACTAGGATGTTGGGCAAGGGAGAACTGAGAGAACTCAGCATTCTGCTCCCCAGTCTCAGCGATTTCAGATTTCCCTCGTAGTGAAGCACCCTGTGGGAAGAAGTGGCTGAAGAAATAAGGCACCTAATGGATCTGGACTCAGCATTTTCAGACCTGCACAACAGTAAACCACATGCAGCAGAGGGATAGCACTGGAGACCATGTCTTTTGAGGCCACGGTCTAAGAGTTCTTAGTATCTAGATAATAGACTCACTCTTTGCCACAGAAAGGCAACACTACCTACCACTATGCACCCTTTAGCTTGAGCTCCCTGCTGCCTAAACTTCTCAGTGAGCTTATGTCCGTGCTACCCTTCTCCACAGATGCCTTCCATAGCCATCTCCCCCTTGTTTTCAGTATCCCACTATAAGGGGTGCTGAACTCTCAAAATGGTGTCTGACTATAGCTGTCTGAAATGTAAGGAGTGGATTTCTTCTCTAAGGCTAGCCTGCCATACAAGATAACTCACTGTCATACCAAATCCCCACATTGGATTTGAGGCTTGCCTGAACTTTAGGATTATCCTTTGTGGGGGTGGGGGAGATTGTTTGTCTGTCCAGAACTGACTGGCAAACACTATGATTATGTTTAACAGAAAGATCAAGAACTAGTTTATTATGCCACCAACCTTATAATTTGTTAAGAAGATAGTGAAGGATTCTCTAAAGAATTCAAAATTGAGGAAGTAAATTTTTGTTTGCATTTTTTAAAGGCAAGATACAGGAAGATAGATGTGGAAGTTGGTAAAACTTTTATATAGGGGAAACTCATGAGGAAACTATTAGGATAGTTTATGCAAATATCTCCACCATGACTCAGGTTTGCTTGTTGCTTTGGGGGCTTGGGAGAGGCAGGAAATCATGCAATGTTGGGGAAGATCCAGCTTGCAAGCATCCTTTAGTACCTGACAGCAATGTGGTACAGGTAGATAATGCTTTCTATTGGCTTCCTATGGCCCATCTGCCTGTGTTAATAATTTTGTGTGGCCTGTGATGATGTTTATAAAGATCCATATGGACCTTGGCAGAAAAAGGGTTCCCTACCCCTGGCAGGAGTAGGTAAACTT